ATTATTTCGGACAATGTTGTGTTATACTCAGGTGACCCTTTATATAGGTCCTTTAATTGGGCCTCTTGTAATATTATATAAATATTTTAGTCATTCAATGAATTGTACATGCTTATACATGTTTATTACACAACTATCATAAACTTACCATGTTTACATGATCAAGATCATATGTGTAAATATATAAAATATCAAATTTTAAAAGAACTTACAGATATTTTAGATATAACTTATTAGATTTGTAGAGATGTGTCATTATTTGTCTTTGTTCATTTAAGGGCAAAAACATGTGGAAAATCTTAAAGAAATACAAAAACAAAGTACTAAAAAGTCGCAAAAAGTCTGACCTACCCAAATCCTTAAAACTTGAGGTTAAGCAGTTATTTAACAAAACACATAGTGAATTCATAAAGGATGAAGGCGCAGGCGCTGAACTTGAATGTGAAACAGCCGTTACTCGTTCTATCTTCCGCCTATATCCAAGGGCCACCTATCGCTGGGTCCGAAATGAGGGCTATCTAACAATGGAACCAGAACGAATGGTATTCCGGATGGGAGACCTCGTCATACAAGGACTGAAGGCGACAGATACCGGGCTTTATTCGTGTAGATTACATTATACGAAAGGAAAGGTGTTGACAGTGGGCGTTTTTTCGCTGTATGTGAAATCAGGGGATTATCCAGAAACACCCGTTCATGAGGGAAAAAAAATCTCTTTACAGTGTAACAGTCATCTGTTGGGTTTATTATATCCGAAAGCTGTCAGAGAGTGGTATCTTAATGGGACAAAAACATCATTACAAAAAATTCCCGCCAGGAAAAAACACAGTGACGTCATCAAAGATTCCACTGTTCGCATGCAAGGAAACTGGTCATGTGTCGTCCGTGATCCTGTACATAGGTGGAAATGGACAACGGCCTTTTATCGCGTCAAAATACTCCCTCCACTTAAAGGTATAGCTTTTATTATTGATTTTGTTAAGAACAACGTCAAATTGACAATATTTCTTATCATTGGGTGTTTTTGCCTGGCTATGATGCTTACTGCTATCCTCCTTGACAAACTAGAGCAATGGAAGAAACGAAAAGACAAACAGCAAAAACGAATGCTTTACCAGTTCTTAGAAGACAGCGGAAGAGGATTTTACGACAATAATGATAATCTCTGTTATACCGACGAGGATGGAAATGTGGTCGTCTGCAAAGTATCTGATGATGAATCGGATGAAGAAGGGATGATAAAAAGAAGAGTTAAGCAGCTAGGCAGGGCGGGAAAAGCAGCGTTAGAGAAGACAAAAGATTTCATACAGGGCGAAGAGGAAGACCAAGATGAAAATAAAGATGACGATGCTAACGAAAACGCCGCTGACTTGGACAGCACACATGACGCCTGCTCGTCTAGTTTCGAGGAGGATAGACATGTTTCCTTTTTTGAGGGGACATTAACAGAGGATAGTTTGGAGACAAGCTTCAATGAAAGTCGTCCGCTATTGTCCCATGAGTATTCTAACGTGTACTTCAAATAATTGTGAAGTGTCTATTGGAGAATACAGCACTAGTTTGAATTTAATACATATACATGTTTTTTGATATGCAAATGTACTTATCTTAAGTAACACGTCTGCATTATATTCTTCATACTTTCTCTGAAAATGAAATTTAAATGTAAAACAAGAAGTGGAATTGCATGTACATATATAAGAAAATAAATGTTTAAAAAATACAATAAAACGTTTTATTTCTAAAATAGCCTGAAGTGAAGACTTCTCGAACGTACCACTTAGTTGTTCTTAGAAATAATTCCACTCTTTATACTAGTATGTCATCAATATACACTAATAAAATGATAAACACACACAAATATGACATATGTAATGAACTGTGGAGAAGTGTTCTGTCGTTTCTTTTCAGTTTCAGTTCATTTTCTCCGCAGAGGTTGCATATACTGAAATGAAATTTGGAAAACAGATTTTATCGTACGACCCTTGGTCTTGGTCAAGTTCTGTTTTGGATACGATCAAGCCATTTAAGACCACAGGAGTTCGCGTACCTGTCAATTTTACCGAGATTTTCAGTAAATAAAAAAATACGCAAAATACCTATAATTTAGGTATTACATATTTTTTTTATTTTCTGATATCGGTAAAATTGATAGGTACAGGAACTCCTGTGTTAAGACAGAGTTATGCCCTTTGGACTTGGACAAATATTCCAATTATTTGGGGGAGGGGGGCATAAATGTTTTACAAACATCTCTTGTTGAATTCGTTATTTACCCTGTTAATTTGTGTTATACCAGGCACGTAGCATCGTTTTTGAAAAAAGTTTCCTTTTATTATAAAAAGTTGACAAGCAAAAAAAAAAAAAAAAAAACGAAAATTAAAAGTTTGCCTGAATGGACTTCCCAACTTAATACTTCCAATCTTTTTCTAACTTTTTGAAAAAGTGGGGGGGGGGGGGGGGGGCACTAAATGAACATTTACTATAAGGTTGTTGGGGACGCATGATTTTTGATATATCTCTTCCGTATATTCAATCTCTAACTTTTTGACACTAAATGATCAAAGGTTTACGCATGATTATCTCTTTAACATCAACAGGGAACTCATGTTCAGTTTTCTAACTTTAGGAGTTTTGAGGTCGTTGTTGGGGTAAATATCTACATGTACATCACACCTGTACAGTAGTGCGCACCTGTATTTAAAACTGTGTGTACCCCGGAGAGACCCCGAGGAAGACAAAATGGGGTCATCTATTTCTAGTACAGGAGAAGGAATTCAAACAGCATATCGCCTTTTTAGAGATAGAGAATTAGTGAGACAGATTTATCGACAAGGTCAACTTGTTAGAAATGAAAGTGCAAAGCTACAAGAATTGGTGGACGATTTAGAAGGAAAAGTTCGAGGCAAACCCAAAGTTCAGCGATCGACATTTATGCCATATCCTAGTTCATGTAATTGTAAGCAATTATTGGTTCATAACAATGATTTTAGGACACTTAAACTATTTACGGTTGGAATTGTTATTGGATATATTATATGCTTGTTTATGAATGTTCAAATGTCCGTTCAACTGTTATAGTAGTATCAGTCAAAGCTAGCTGTCATTCGTACATTATCTGTGCTAGAACTTTAAAAACAACTGATTACTTGAATATATATTATATGTATGCTGATCATGATGCTGTGCTGTGATTTATTTATTGAAAATGTTTTTTGTTATTATGAAATTATTTTATTTCATATAAAGCAATTTTTAACTGAATCAAAGTGTTTGAAATAGATTTTTTTTATATAGAAATAATGAGCATAGTGAGTTATGGATTATTATAAATTGAGAAAATTTGCATAAACGCGATTTCATGGATTGAGTTGCTGGAACGTGAATCAATGCATCATAAGTGTCCCACCTTTTATTTGATTTCACAAAAATGAAATTTGAAATTAGTAATGTTCCTCTGCTCCATTTTATTGACTAAAATGGAGGCTGTTGAAATTCATGTAACATCAATTTATTTGACAGTACCCTGTCTCGTTTTTAAAATTTATCACAGAATTCACACCCAGAGCATGGTCTTGAATTTGAAAAAAAGTTAGATGACCTAACAATCTTATACTTTATTCTACTAAATAAATGAGGAATGTGACAATAAGTACAGTTGTCATAGGGTTTGTACTTTGTAGTCAGTAAAACATTCAAATACTTGAATGATACTGATAAGACAGACCTGTATTGTATTCATTTAGAATTCGCGTCGAAAATTATACATGTATATTACTGAGTATTTATTTATTAAAACTGATTTATTTTTCGAGTTCAAGGCCGGATCAAGTGTTTTATTCATATCGTAAAGAAGTTTTTGAATAATTTTTGCTTAACACAAAGATAAACTAGAGGAAAACTGATAAAGCAGCATAACTAGTGCCAGTTAAAATTTCAGCAAATCGCGGAAAGACTTGGTTATCAAAGACTAATAGTACATAGAGATTGTTATGCAATATCTAGCAAGCTTTTGATATCATCTTCAGAGTACAATGTATAAAAAGTAAGGAAAGATGACTTTATTCTATCTGTTTTGGACAGTTTGGAAAGTTGATGATAGAAAAGTAGAAATCATCACGTTTATCATAAAATTTTGTTATTAGGTCAAATCTGAAACAGATGTATGTATTAGACTCTGTATTATGTGGTGTCTTGAAAAATTCACCAAAATTGATCGAAACCATGAATAGAAGTAAGAAATAACTAATGGTCAAAGCAAGTGTTTCCTTTTCATGTTTAAGTTTTTAAAATATAGATTCTGCTTCATATGAATACAAAAAGGCCTGCTTATAACAACAAGGGCACAATTGGTACCTATGGGAATTCCAACGGTTTGTTGGAACACCTTATCTCCGAAAACTATATGGCACGTGCTGCCATGAGACTTGATGAAAACTATGTACAGCGTTGATTTCATGCATTTGACATAGACGTTTGACCATGAAGTGTTTTTTTTTTTATCTGAATAGCCAAATTAGTTCAGTTTTCTTATGTAACTTTATGGGTTCTTTTTAAAAAAAAAAGTTTATTGTTCAATAATAGGTTATTATCTAATTTTATATTGTTGTATGAAAAAGAAACAGGGCTGGATACCATGTTAGATGACCACTCTTTGCTAGCACACACAGAATTAAAAATTGTAAATGTTGTGATCCCTGTTCCAGAGGTCTGAGAGTTTGGCTAGCACAATCAAAATAAAAGCAGTCTTTAATCAAGTAGTTGAATTTGAATTTTCATAATGCATTACCAGGTATGCTTGTAATAAGTAATGAGGGCTTTAACCAAATTCTGTCTATATGTTGAGAACACGTCGCAGCCCTATTAGACGGCGATTTTTATATATTGTTTAAGTTTTAAAAAAAAAAATCAAATTTCAGCTATCTAGATTGCTTGACTTGGATTTTTACAAATAAATGATTTTAATAAATATTACTAATAAACATGACAGAAAGACAAGATCAAATTTATATACTTTATTTTTTCTGCTGTGAAAAAGATGATCCTTATTTGTATAAGTTCACTTTGGTTTAGTTTTCTTGCTCATCAAAGTACATTTCGTTTTCACTATTATTTTCAGCTGTAAGTGGTTCATTTTCTGGCTGGGGTTCCTCTTCTGTAATCGCCAACGGTGTTTTTTCTGCACTTTCACCTTTCAAAAATACCCCTTTCTTGAATTTCGCAACCAAAAACGACACAAGAAACAAACCAATGCCAAGAAAAATCAAAAGAAAATGAATCCAATTATCTTTCATAAAGTTCTCAATTTTCCCTAAAAAAGAGGGCTCTCGGGTCACTTGTATTTGGAAGTAAGCAGTTGTCCATTCCCTTGTTGAATATTCTTGAGACGTCACACACTTCCAAAAGCCAGTCATTTTGGGCAGCGCGAAATCTACACAGTCTTCGAAGATAGAGGTCGCCGGGATACCGTTTGGAAACACAGTATACGAGTTGTTAATGATCCAGTTACGTTTTGTATACAGATACGCGTGTCCAATACCCGCACTGTTACACTGCACACAGAATCTTTTGCCATACTTGACGATTCTAGGGCGTGGCCTGAGTGGTTTGACCATCAGTGAATACACGCCTACTGTCTTTACTAAATATGGCTGATATTCTATTTGACAAAGATACGTGCCGCCATCCTTCAACAGTATCTTTCTAAAAGTTAGTTCACCCTTTTTATGCACAATTCTTCCTCTATCAGTTGAAAGCCGCATTCCATTATGGACCCATCGAAATTTTGACTGCCTAAAATTACTTATTATCTTATCTGTGACGTAATTACTGCAGTCTATTGTATAACGCGATGCTTCTTGAACCGAGAGGGCATTCAGGGAATCCCTTATGTGCTCGTTCACAAGTCTGGTGAAACTCTCCGGAAATGGAATCACTTTGTTGGCATTTTCAGGATCATCCTCCAGTATGTCCACGTTCTACATATAAGCGAAAAAACACTTGAAAAGAGTTAATATGAAAAAAGTTATGCAACATATAAACTCCTTAAGCTTGTTACCAATTTAAAAGTTATCAAAAAAATTCATCATAAAAAGTTTACCTGTTTATTAGTCTTTTTACAAAATACAGAAAGAAAACATAGGTGACAAAAACAGATAAAGAAACCAAAAGGCGACATTCTTTTTGAAAGGTGACGTCATAATTGAAATGACGTCAAAAACGTAATGATCGTTTTGCCGGATCCGATAATTTCAGACCTCATTGAATCAAATGCTGACTGACGTTTTTCATACTAACTATTAGTCCATTATTTATTCACTGAATTGACGACGGATTTTCCCGTTATTTTCCGATCATGACAAGGAGCACACGGCGGGTGTGACCGGTCGGCAGGGGATGCCCACTACTCCATGACACCTGATCCCACCTTTGATGTTTTGAAGGTCCTCGTCCGTGTTTGCTCTGCTCCTATTTTGTACTGTTTCATGGACTTTGATATTGAATACTGTTCGTTGTCTCCATATCCTTCATATTTCAGACTGAGAACGAATAAGATTTTCTGCAGAAGTTTTGCTTTATCTGCATCCAATAAAGTCTGCGGAGATAATAGTTCAAAATAAATAGTCTATGTTATCCTGGCTTTTTCATGATTTTGATGTTTTACTTGGCACTTAAAATATGAAAATCGTTAAAATAAACCTTGGAAACGTCAGATATTACGAACCAAGGGGATGAATAATCGTATAACAGGAAATGCGTAAGTCTGTCACTGGTGTTAATATGTGTCTATCCTCAATACTTATGAATTACACGTACTGATGTAAATCACATATATATATGGTAAATTTTTGTTGCCAACATCATTTGCCGGGGACTTGAGGAGAAATATCGACTAACTCCCCCACCCACCCACACAGACAGAGAGAGAGTTTTCCTTGAATGGCGTTTTAACAGAGACCTTATTAAACGATAATTGATTGGCGTCAGTTCCATTAAGAATTGTGAGTACACTGTACTATCTAAGAGCTACGGAAGTGTTTATAACAACCACGTACGGCTCTATCTTTTATTATTCTGTTTTGACAAATTAATTTAACAAATTAATTTATTATTACAAAGAATATTTTAAGAATTTCGCCAGCTATAACCAACTCTCTCTTTCTCTCTCTCTTACAGCTAATTAATGGTGATATTTAACTATATTCAAGTGAAATTAAAATAAAATTTAAAAGGTGCATGATTTCTGAAGTTTATTTGCAAAATTTTTAAATATATAATTATATAGATCTAATAGTAAAAGTAAAAAAAAAATATTGAAACTTTTCAAGATATACTGGTATCAGTATTAGTTTTAAATATTATGTTACATCTTAAGAACAGCAATAAATACAAGAGGACCAGAGGCCTTAACGGTCACCTGAGTAAAATAGAATACGACCCTGAAAAGGATCCATAAAAACATGGTTTCATAATTATGAAATAAAGGAACATAAACTGATATTATAGTGTGATACATTGCTTAAAATCGAGAGAAAAAAGGCAACCAAGGATCAATAAAAAGGTCAAGTCTGAGTGTGAAGCTGTCATTTACCAGTGTTTGTCAGACTGTCGCCTACACTATCTATTGTTACTAACATTCAGTTGTAAACAACGAACTACTGCTTTCACATACTGCTGTAGTCTAGCAAAGAATTTGAAAGAATTGCTGCATTTTTACTGTATAATTAGGAAGTAGTGGCCATAAATTCATAATCATTGTCACACTGATTTTCCTATACCAAAATTGTTGAATCCCCTTTTTGAGAAGAAGCCATATAAATCCTGTTGGATTTCTAACAATGCACAAAAATGAACAAAACAGATTGCAATTGGTCACCTAAGTGACTCACATAACCTAAAACTGAACTTAAACACATTTATTGCAATGAACATTTCTAAAATGCATTCTAAAATCACAGAATTGCGTGTTTTACAAACTTCAACAGTCATGATGCATGCAAAACTACCGCAGTAAATCAACTAAAACTGAACACAGGAAACTAAAATCAAAGTGTTGGTGCTTCAGTACACATGTATCTAACCAAGTTAGAAGTTAACAAAAGAATAAGCAATTAAAGCATTTGCTAAGTTGACATCAATTTGTACAAATTAGGAAAATGAATTACACCTTAATGTATTGAGCATTGTTGAGCATCTGTTAAAGAGAAAATAACAATGTACATTGAGTTGATTAATATTATACTATAGTCAGTTCAAAGTCATTGGATGCTGCATTATAAGCATACTGTAGACGTATTTTTTTCCACGGAATCATAATTCCGCGGAATCTTAATATCTGTTTAATCTACGGATAGAAAATAACGCGGATTTCTTAGATTGTCACTATATGCCTTACATTTATAAAAAGTACGCTTGGAAAAATTTCCGCGGAAAATTTGTGGCCGCGTACATAGCGTAAATTAATACCACGCGGAAAAAAGTACTTCTACAGTATTCAAAATCAACAGTTATCCAAGCTGTGTTCAATTCAAAATCAACAGAGATCTAAACTGGAGGTAGTCCAAAATTAATTGAGATACAAACTGAAACCAATGCACAGTCAATATATATCCAAACAGCATCCAGTTTAAAGTCTGTACTCAACAGATGCCACATCCAATGTCCATCAGTGAGTCTTCTCAATTGCCCTTAGTGACAATAAAGAAAGTGAAAAATATCTCACACAGTCATTTAAAGATAAAAATAAAATGTATAAAATGTACTACATAAAAATGTAAAAATTACATAAAAAAATTATAATTATCAGTCTAAACCTAAAGAGAATGCCATAAAAGGTATATAAGCAACAGAATCACCAACCTAAATGTCTTGACAATGTATATTGCACATTAAGAATGTTTAAAAAATTCTAGTATGAAATCACAGCAAATGTCTCTATTCCTACAGGAACCTACATTTAGGCTTTAATCAAATACTGCAAGATAAAGCTGTGAAATTTTAAAGGAAAGAATGGTTGTTTCAAAGACAAGTACATAAAACAATGTCAAAACATCTACAGAATGTTAAACTACAAACTATATTGTTCACATGGGCAATATTAACACCTCTTTTCAGATACTGCCTTTTCTACACATGGCTGATATTTCTTATTAACACACTTACATGAATTGATACAAGTAAATGTAAGAGCACCTGCAAAATCAAGGAGATATATACAGTGTACATGTATAGATCCCTAGTAAATCTAAAACCAATAATTGTTAAGAGCATAATACATCAATTCACTATGAATACACCCTGAATTAACAGCAGTAATACATCAATTCACTATGAATACACCCTGAATTAACAGCACTAATACATCAATTCACTATGAATACACACTGAATTAACAGCAGTAAATTAATTAAAAAGAATTATTGCATTAAAAATCTTAGAAGCATTTGAAGTCTGTAAACATGATAAATGATATCTCTACTTCAGGGATATGTAGGTCTATGGCGGGGCAGTAGCAGATATCCGGGGCTTTACATTGTGCTTTTTCATGTACGACAAAAACTGATCCGGTATTTCTGCCAGCACTTCTTTAGCTAGGGCTGCTTGACTCAACGTCATGTTACCACGGTTTAGGAAGTCATTAAATGGAACAAACTATAGGGAAAAAAATTAAAACTTTAGTTACATCTAATTAGAAAAATCACCAAGGCAACATCTGGAGTTGTTTTACATAATTAAAGAAAATTTAAATGGAACAATTATCTGATTGAATGGAACTTAAAGAGCTCAACACCACTAGAAGTGTTTAAAAGCATTCTATCATTTAGAATTACCAGATTGAACAGTAGTTAAAAAGCTCAACAGCATTACAGAAATAATCTTATCATTAAGAACTTGATAAAACAGTGGACAAGTAGCAATACGTTACAATACCTGTACAATATCTCTCTCTGCGTACACTCCATTGTAAGATAGTCTGACATCATCACCGTCCAAAATATTCATAGCTGAAATAAGTAATTCAGTTAAATACAGGAAGCAAGTTGTCTCATCTTCCTAATATTAATAGTCAAAGAATGCCAGAAAATAGTAATTTCTTTAGAAACATGAACTGTATTTTTTTTCTGAATGTGTGTGTACATGTTTAACATCTTCAAAATATGTGATATAACAAACTGTTACTGAAAATAATGCCTTCTAAATGTAGTGACATTTTATATCACACATACCAGTAAAATCAGCGTCCCCTACACCAACAATGATAATGGACATAGGGAGTCTGGAGGCCTGCAAGTAAAACGCACAATAATGACAATAAAAACAATGGATTGGACATTGTACAAGGTCTATTTAACTTACTGTAGTTATTAAAAACAAACTGTGCTTACACTAAACTAACTGTACTCACGTTAACAATAGCCTGCTGGGTTTGCTGCATGTCTGTGATCACTCCATCAGTAATGATAAGCAAAACAAAATACTGACTGCCATCTTGTATTGCCTGAGCAAATCTGAAAGAAATAAGTACAGTGTGCACTATATGCAAGAACCATACTATTGGAATTCAATTGTGTTGAATACCTGTGCTTTTCTTGAGATTTTTTCTCCATTTTTTTATATTGTAATGAATTTCAATGTAAAACTTTCATTACCAAATATGATCCTACTCCATCCCAAAGGTTCTGATTTATCAAAATTACCTAGTATATTCTGAATCAATACAGACTAGACAGACTGACAAAGACTTTTACATGGCCAAATAGTTCCCATTTACAAAACACACACTCGATGACAATATGTAACTTTAAAAAAACCTTTACAACACCAGTTTTTACCTGAGTACATGGTTTATGACATGGTATAAGTTAACACCTGTATTTACCTGGCTACATGGTTAATGACAAGGTGTAAGTTAAGACCTGTATTTACCTGGCTACTTGGTCAATAACATGGTATTATTAGTTACATACTTTTAGTGACAGGGTACAGGATGAAACCTGGTTAGTAAATTTCATACCTGGCGAGGTGGAGCCGAGTCAGGTATGAAATTTACTAACCAGGTATCATCCCGTACCCTCTCACTAAAAAACTGTGTAACGAATTTACCCCACCGATGAAACATTTACGTATTATCTGTGGTTTATCAATATCTTTCTCTGCTAAATGCTTCATCACGCTAATACTGTGCCTATTATGACGTCATATTGTGTTTGTGACGTAATACATCGACCGGGTATAGATTTACAACTGACCAGGTATAAGTAATCCACCTCCTTCACGTGACAGACTATAACCAATCGTAAGCCAGGATTTCAAGGGAAAATCAACAGAGGTGGGGTTAAAGTTAACACCTGTATTTACCTGGCTACATGGTTAATGACAAGGTGTAAGTTAAGACCTGTATTTACCTGGCTACTTGGTCAATGATGGTATAAGTTAACACCAGTATTTACCTGGCTACGTGGTTAATGTCAAGGTCTGTATTTACCTGGCTACTTGGTCAATGACAGGGTATAAGTTAACACCAGTATTTAACTAGCTACTTGGTTAATGACATGGTTTAAGTTACATGTAACACCAGTGTTTACTTGGCTACATGGTTAATGACAAGGTATCAGTTAAAGAACACCTGTATTTACCTGGCTACGTGGTTAATGACGGGGGAGAAATTTGTAGGGCCGTACAGTTGGACATTCTTCAGTGAGTTGTAGTATGCCTGCAGGACTCCCTCTACTCCCTGACAGAATGGGTTGGAGGGGTTAAAATTCTACAATATATCAAAGAAAGTGTTGTTAAAAATTGGGAACTGTTGCATCTCTCTGATTAAAAAAAATCTGGTGTAATTGTAACAATTGTATTTCATTAATTGAAACATTTACAATTGTACATATTTATACTAAAAAAATATGTCCTTTAACCTACAAGTCAAGAGGCAAAGTGGACTATTGCCAGTGCTGATATTACAGATAGTTTACTAGTTTGGATTTTAACATCCATTAAATATAAATATACCCCTAACTAATTTTATTCTTGGTTTTCATCATATCTATTTATGCATCTGGATTTGATTATAAAAAGTATAAAATTAATTTCAAATTGTTACCAATGCAAACTCGTGGTGAACAGAGCCATCACTCATTCTTGCTCCAAATCCCAGGGCTGGAAACAGCTTATCACTGAAGAAAAAGAAGTTATTCTGTAAAATATGTGTACAAAAAGGATCAATTTTAACACCCCTGTTACAACGCACTTTGAAAAATTACGCACTTTGAAAAAATTTTTCAAAGTGCGTTAAAATTTTGGACCAAGCTAACGCACTTTGAAAAAAATATTTTTTTTTCAAAGTGCGTTAATATCGACCATATTAACGCACTTTCAAAAAAATGTAAAGATTGATCAAAATTCCTTCAAATAATCGGTATGATAAATAACAGATCCTGGTTTGATAACTTTTTTATGATAAAGTCACTGTAGGACCTGAGATATTGACGTTTTAAATATTTAAGGTTTTGAAAAAATAAAAGGGAAAATTAAAGGGTCTTGAAAAAAAAGAGTGACGATTTTTTAAGTTCATCAATTCGTTTCTTCTTTTTTTTTAATTCTAGTCTTTGATAAGTAGATGTAAAGGTGTATAGGGGGCACTAACAGAGGACAGCTTCAAGCAACTTTGCATTTATCATAATAAAAAGGGGCCAATTTGATTGTTCAAAACTATGAAAATTCTTTCTCTCTCATAAGTTTACCGTACTTAAAAATTTATAGTTTTCATCTGTTTTAATTAACTCATTTATTTTTGAAAGTTTTCAACGTCATACCAGTTAGGTAAATACATAATTATATGAATGCTTTGAGTATAGCATAGACATCGAGACTAGGCGAAGGGCCAGGGGAGGGGATGGGGGGCTAAGCCTCCCACTTATTTTGGAAAGCTATATACATCGTATAAACATTGAAAATGCAGCGTACCTTTTTGAGGTTTATTGCTCCCCTCCCCCGTTTGTTACCAACACCTATACAGTGTATGTATTGGAAAGATAAAGATTTGGACTGAGGAATCTTATACCCGTCTTCTCCTCTTTTCGACGGGAGTAAATCAATTCATTTTTGAGGTTAGGGTTAGGCTTAGTTTTTTGAAAGAGAAATAACAAATAAAATCTTTCCATGACTAAAATATAATTTTTTTTTCAAAGTGCGTTAAGTGTGTCCATGGTAAAATATATTGATGTAGAATATTAACGCACTTTGAAAATTTTTTTTTCAAAGTGCGTTGAGTTGGTCCCAAATTTACACACTTTGAAAAATATTTTCAAAGTGCGTTGATTTTGTCCCAATTTTAACGCACTTTGAAAAATTTTTTCAAAGTGCGTAATTTTTTCAAAGTGCGTTGCCACACACCCCCCTCCCCCCAACTGTACAGAAGCCTTGGAAATACTGAAATTTAACAATACAGTATATTGCCCATAAAATACTGTACCAAAAACTGTACCAAACATCAACAAGAAAAAAATTATGTTTTCTGATAAACAATTCAAATTGCAAGAGAATATTCTATTTACCATTAATGTTGGTGTTCCACCATGATTCTTTGCATGGGTGAAATACATGTATATGTGACATTTTCTGTACAGCCAATAGATCAGATATACATGTACGTTGTACTGTACAGTACACTGATCATGCAGATACGGATAAACAGGAAGAGCACTATAGAACAGGTATAATGTTAATCACACCTGGACATTCATTGTCATGTTTGGTTTCCATACCTGTCATAGTCCTGAATAATGTTTCCTACAGCTTGAATAGCCGCAGCGTATTGGTTTGGGGTTCCGTATGGGTTCAGGTAATGAAGAGATGAGGGAGAAGAGGGGTTTCCATTAGAGGCAGTGAAATCTATCGCTACTGTGAAGTTCATTTCAGTGCTACTAAATCAATAATTTTTTTTTTTCATTTTCACATTTTAAATGATTTCAGTTAAAAATTTAGTTTCTGACAGTTGTACCTTAACATCAATTAAGTGTTGAATCATATTAAAATTCTCTTAAAGGTTTATTTTATCTCATTTTAAATTTACTTCTTAAGTTTTTAAGTTTAGAATACAAACATACACAAAAGGAAAAAAAATATCTAGATGATTTTCCTTGTTATAAAAACTGAAAAAATCCACTAAGTTTTTGAAATTCTGCTAAGAACAGTAGATACCTGTTAACAGTTATCATTTGCAAAAAAAAAAATATATATATTTGTTTTTTACTGACCCACTTTGTATGTAATCCAGAAACGAAAAGATCTGCTCTGATTTATAACTCAATAGTAGCACCTGCAATTAAAGAATTATTTAGATGTTTAAAAGAGATAGACAGATGCAACATCAATCTAATTAAAATTAAACTTGTACTTTTGATCATCCATGTTGTGCTTCATTGGCTCCCATTGAAGCAAATAGAAGAGGGAAAAAAACACAAATAAATTTGGATTTTAAAGGAACTGTTTAATTCACAAGATGGCTGGAAATATTTGTTTTATGCAGTATAATCCGCAAGAAAACAGTGTCAGATTGAAAAAAATTAATGTAGAAGTACTATTACATCTGATCTATCTTTATATTTCTTTTTCTTAAAAACCAATGTTTCTTTTAAAGTGTATAAGCTAACAAAAGAAAGACACATGCACGTGATTTCATGCATGTTACAGTAATCATGGTGTGAAAATACTCATAAAATCAATGTCTCACTTTAATATTCATTAAAAGAGGAAGAGTTATATAAAATGTCACATTTTTTCTCACATAAAGATCATTATTGATGAATAAGTTGCTGTAAATATAAATCTCCCAAATTACAAACTCTCTTTCAAATCATTAAAAAGGAGACTATATCAATTAATGGCATTTACGTCTTACTAGAAAAACATTGGAAGAACAATGACCTTCTTCCGCAAATCAATAACATGCCTCGGAGAAAAGGTTTTAAATTCTCCAATTAAGTCATGCCTTAAAAAAATACAGATAAAAGATACAAAATTTATAATGATGAATATGTTTCTACAACTTTCAGAAGTTGATTTCATTTTTTTTATTTAAATAATGAATCGATGCTTAGAGCGAAAAGATTATCATTCCCCTTATAAATCAAATTGAGCACTTAACAGATGGATATATTATAACATATTACACTTCTAAAAAAGCATCATTCCATCCTTGGCTCTTTGTTATAAGCATGTTATACTGTAAATTTATTTAAAAACCTTGTACATACCCTCCATCTTTGTCCCAATCATAACATTCAAATTTAATGCTCCTAAAATGTAGAATATAAATAAAATGCAGAAAATCTTTATTTCATAATACCAAGCATATTACCGGTAATGCTTTCCATTCTGAATATTTAAATAATACAAATCTATATATACTGAAAGGAAAAAGAAACGCAGGGTAAACTTTTGAGGTAAAATAATTTTATTTTTCTTGATGTATTTTCTAGTATTCCTATCTAACGTCAAAATTCATCTTTAATAAAAATGTAAGTTGAAATTCCATTTTTTTTGCCTCATAATTTTCAAGTTATTGAGACTGAATGACGAATACCCCCTATCAAAAAGTGAAAATTGAATTTTATCATTATCTTTTAAATATATTACCTTCGCGTATCTGTCACGGTCTTTTTTCTCCTTTGCAAATTCAAAAGTGTGTTTATCCTACTAATAGGGATATTTTTCAACCTTTTCAAATATGTAGTCCTTAGTTGAAAGGGACTTTTATTGGACACTTCGAACCCTATCTTCCACTAGCCCTTGGAGAACAGATGTTCAATGAGAATTTTTTGGTTATCTTTATGGGGACCAGTCGAGTGGGTAACAATTTTTGCTTGGCTGAAAATCTTGATAAACCTAATTACAATGGGCCGGAGTTATTGACGAAAAAAATTAAGCAAACTTTCACCTGCGCATGCGCCAGTGAGAGGATCTCCAACATAAAGTTGACCAGCTTTAAGATCCAAATCGCGCAATCGGTTTCTTTCAGTTTTATGGTGAATGTAATGATTATGATAACCTACACTATTTATAGCAGTTTTGTGGTAGTAAGGTGGCGATTAAACAGGTGGCAGGACGAATAACCCGCTCTTGACGTGGCTCAGTTACGCGTCAATTTTTCCCATCAATAACTCCTGATTAAAAACCATTCAAGGCCCTCTCTGACGACAGTTAAGACGTTTCTAAGGGGGGAAACTTTCTCAGTTTAGCGACTGCACAGCAAGCTGTTGTTGCCTTTGTCCTTACTTAGGCAACGTAAAAGCCAGATCCAAAGATTTATGGAACTTCCGTCAACTGTAAATTTTCAAGATTGCAAGAAATGCATAATATCTGTAAATACTGAAAAACAATGTGTATACTTCAAGTGCATCAAATGGTAAAAACAAAATAATTATAAAATCTAGAGACAAGACAGAAGTCGTCATCAAGTTGCACAGTGTTTTTGGCTTTTTAGCACTTTTCCTACGTTACGTCATACATTTCACGTTTGAATAATTCTGAACACTGATTTTGGTGCATAGTAACCTTGTGAAGATTCTTATCTGACCAATTTTGAATTTTTGACCTATGACCTTGGAGAAAAAATTCGCATATTTTGTTACCCTGCGTTTCTTTTTCCTTTCAGTATATATGCAGTGTACTTCTAATTGTATGCTTCATTTTTTAAATATCTATATTTTCTAGAATTTTCCCAATTATGAAGAAAAAAATTAAAGAAATGTATTTACTAGTTTTATAATCTTATTTGAAAATTTTAAAAATACTCACACACATACTTTATAACAAAAGGAAATTATTATGAGCCCATAACCCAACATTGAATGTTTTACATTACCTACAGCTACAATGTATGTATATTTCCTACAACTACACCAGTCATAGTCCCATTACACAAGGCCCTGGACATGATTGTAAAGGGTCTCCAGGTAGGATAAAAAAAACATGCGTCTTCATGATGACTTCTGTTCTAATGTACCACAGTGTAACTACAACAACATAATTAAACTTGTACTTTTGATCATCCATGTTGTGCTTAATTGGCTCCCATTGAAGCCTATAAAGAGGGAAAAAAACAAATAAATTTGGATTTTAAAGGAACTGTTTAATTCACAAGATGGCTGGAAATATTTGTTTTATGCAGTATAATCCGCAAGAAAACAGTGTCAGATTGAAAAAAATTGTGTAGAATTACCTCCCCTGAATCTTTATATTTCTTTTTCTTTGCCTGTTTCTTTGGGTGTATAAGCTAACAAAAGAAAGACACATCTTATTTGGCATGTTCAGAATCTTGGTGTGAAAATACCATAAAATCAAGTCTCACTTTAATATTTTTAAAAGAGGAAGAGTTATATAAAATGTCACATTTTTTTACCACATAAAGATCCATTATCAAATTGATGAATAAGTTGATGTAAATATAAATCTCCCAAAAAATTACATCTCATTATCAAACCTTAACCAAGAAGTCAATGAAAATATCTACTTTTAATTAAGAAGAGACGGACCCCTTGACAATTTTTCATTTTTACATTACTTCAATAAATGTGGTTAAAAAAATAGAGGAGGGCATCTATGATGAATGCTCAACTTTCAGTTATCTTCATTCATTATAAATAATGAATCGAAGGGGTTCGTTTATCTTCACCTGCCATCTTCATTAACTCGGGATATACTGTAAATAAGGATTAGACTTTCCAAAGAAATCCTTCTTATCACATGGTGACGAGCTCGGAGGCGATGCACTAGTTATCTCCTCCTGAATTTAAAAACATGCATAAAGCAACACTAAAAGAATTATTTTGTGTGATTATAGCAATCCATTTGATTTTTTCTAAATTTAAAACGCACTTGAAAAACTCATTCAAAATCTTCATGCTAAAATTGGTTGCATGCTTAGTTATTTTGTTACTAGTATTATTTAAAAGGTTTTCAAAGATACTCATCTTTATTTTCTGTTTTGTAAATATTTGTTTACAGAGGTGGATTCTCATTGATAGATTTACTTTACATCCTTCAATCAAGCGCATATAAAAAGCGTTTTAGACTGTGATATCAATTCATCTAACGATCTGTATGTAATTAGTTTGAAACTCCTCTGTCTACACATGTAAAACCTTAAATAAATATACACACAGTAACTGTTTTCAAATAATATTTGTCTATTTTCTCCTGCTTGTGTCAATTTATAAATTAAGTTATATATTTAATAAAATTCTCCATATCAGTGATCGTCTCTGTGGCGTAATCGATAAGGCAACTGACAACCTCATGTCGTGAGTTCATTCTCGTAGTGCATACAATTTTATTCAGAAAATAAGGCCAAGTGAAATTCGGCATAGTATGCTTAAGCTATATAAATCCTTAGACCACTATGCGAGAATTAGGGTATGGGTTATATAGAGACAAACTGACAAGAAGCATAATAATATAATATATTACACTTATAACGAAGCATTATTTCATGCGTGGCTCTTTGTTATGAGCATGTTATACTGTAAATTCATTTAAAAACCTTGTACATATCCATCTTTGTCCCAGTCATAACATTCAAATTTAATGCTCCTAAAATGTAGAATATAAATAAAATGCAGAAAATCTTTATTTCATAATACCAAGCATATTAATTTTTCTTCCATTCTGAATACCATATAAGTCGAAATTTTAGCGAGACGCAAATTTAGCAATTTCTACCTAAAAACTGGTATTTTATTCTTAGCGAGAATTAATTTTAGCTTTTTAAAAATGCTAAACTAAAGAAGCTATTACAAATAATACGCATTCATTTTTAGCGATATTCACTTTTAGCGATGTAAGCCCCCATGCTAATAATGCCAAAATTAAATCCTTGCTAAAAATTCTACTTATACGGTATTTAAAAATCACAAATCTGTATACATTGTACATGTAGTTGTATGCTTAATTTTTTAAATATCTATATTTTTTAGAATTTTCCCAATTATGAAGAAAAAAGATAAAGAAATGTATTTACTGGATGTTATAATCTTGAAAAAGTTTGACTAAAAATACTCACATACATACTTTATAACAAAAGGAAATTATTATGAGCCCATAACCCAACATTGAATGTTTTACATTACCTACAGCTACAATGTACATATATTTCCTAGCCTCACCTGTCATAGTCTCCATTACACAAGGCCCTGGACATGATTGTAAATCTCCATGGATTTAACGTCTTCATGATGACTTCTGTTCTGTGTACCACGGTGTAACTACAACAACAACAAGAAAAATCTGTAGAGTGTACATTCTTAATTCTGTAACTATAAATGACTATAGAAAAAAAAATTATGCATGGAAAAGATATAACTTTTAAACAAGGGAAGATAGAGATTTTATATAAGAACATGGGAAGGTACAGTATTTATATAAGATAAGCACTAACTTTAACAATTTTTTCTAAAAATACCTAAAAATTTCCCCTGTATTCTTTACCTACAAGTTTGATATACAATATTACTTTTCAAAATTTTGAATAAGAGAAATTTTTATTTTACTAATTCATTACCACAGAAAATACCATAACATTTAGCATTCTTGACTTCATTATCAAGACCTAAACCAAGAAGTTTGACCTACTTTTACTTCAGAAGAGACGGGGCTTTATTTGTTCATTTTTACAATACACGTTCTTCTATAAATGGGGGTATAGAGGAGGGCACCATAGCTCACTTGTTATCTTCATTCATTATAAATAACTGGATGGGGGTTAGTTTAGCTCACCTGCCATCTTCATTAACCCGGGAAAGCTGTAAATAAGGATCAGACTTTCCAAAGAAATCCTTCTTATCCAGATGACTAGCTCGGAAATGAAGAGTTATCTCCTCCTGAATTTAAAAACAAGAAAAAAGCAACTTTAAAAGAAATTTTGTGTGACTTAGCATCAAGCTAAATTTAAAACTGAGAGAAAACTATCAAATTTATAAAATTTTCCATAGATGTACATGTATAATTTAAAATTTTCATTTTGCTTCTTTTTAAATATATAAATGAGAACAAATTATCATTTTAGGAGAGATATACGGTACATGTAACATGAACCAACAATCTCTAGCTGTGATTTAATCAACAAACCTTGCAATTGCTTAGCTCCTCTCCTCTGACTGTAAAACAAATAAACATACACACAGGTCAGCAACAAATCTATAGGGTTCTCATGCTGAGTTTACATTTCATATGACAGATACTGACATGGGTTAATTACTCATTAAAGTAATAACTTAGCTTCGAAACAAGGACAAGGCTTATGTATACATGTAGTCTACATTTTCACTAATAAATTGTACAAGTGAAATTCTAGCTACTGCAGGTACTCCTTAATTTTATTATGAAGAATGCCTTATTTTTCATTTAGAACTACATGTAAATACATGACACATGTGTAAGTGCTAAGAAATAAAATTAATATACATGTAAGAAGCAGTAATGATATGCTACATATCATCATCATATCCTGAAAATATCACAATTCTTTTTTTCAAAACCAATTAATATGTTAAAAGATTTAACTGTAATTATGGAAATATTATATTTCATCTTCCCACATACTGATGTAGCTAGATTATTTAAAAACTTCCAAATACTGATATATAAAATGTGCACATTCTCTAAACAGTTGGGCCTATAGCAAGTGTATCATACATGAAGATACATGTATCAATAATCAATCTGCAATATTTAGGTTCTCAATGCATTATCTTCTGATACATAGGCAAGTACATTGTTTTGTGGCAACACAAAGCAACAATCTTAGGCACGAAAAATCTATGTATATTTTATTAAATGAACATTTTCAAGCACCTTCAAACACCCAAAAGCTCAATGAATTTATGGTACTTTTAATTACCTATTATTGTCCCATTCTTTCTCCTAGATCCCCTGCAAAGTGTATAATCATTTAGTAATTTGTGTTCAAACACAGAATTATCTGCAGGAGTTCATAAAAAATAAACAGAAGTTGGAGTGTGGAACCAACCATTGTTTATCATTTATATTTAACTAAAAGAGCTCAAACACATCTGAGGCATCTCCCAGTTTTATTTATCTCTTACAGCAACAACTTCAAAAAAATTATATTTTAGTGTTGTTCAAGATAGGTATAACCATTTAAAATTTTCATTTTCTAAAACATTTTCATTTCATATTTGGTAAATAAAATAATCAGCCAACATTTCCAATAATTAAATGAAAAAGCATAATTTACTGTAAAGGCTTTTCTAATTTCCCTCCTGGTGCCCCTACAATTTCTCCCAGGCTGCACTCCATCCGTCCAATGAAATCCTACAGCATAAAAGAATTAGCAGAAAGTTATCAATTATGTCCTACAGCAGAAAGCCCTCAATTACTTATGTTACCAATAAATATAGGCGATTATTTTGGTGTCTATCAATTGAATGATTTACATATTCTAAAAAGTGGATATGCTATTTGTGATGTGTATTTTTCTTTCATACTTTCCACCCAGAAACAGAACAAAAAAAAAACAAAACAAAACAAAAAACAAAAAACAAAGATGACTTTTCCCATCTTCAACATGTCCAAGCCTTTAACTGAGAAATAATAATTCACTTACATGATTTTTCAAATTATGAGAAGCAGAATCAACATCATATCTGAAATAAAAAAAAAAATCTTATGTACATAATTTTCAAGTTATTTTTTTGTATAATGTATTAACTTTAAATATACATCATAAAACAATGTATACATACACACTTTACTTTAGTTGTTATATATCTAAAATATGATTTTGAAATATATCTTAAGTTGATACATGATAGCTCTGACATTTGTAAAGATGTATTACAATTTTATTACATTTACTCACATTTCAAATTTAATGCTCTGTAATTCTTCAAAGAGGTAGGTGAGTGTAAATTTCTTGGCAAAGTTGGGATTGAGCTGGTTATCAATTGTTTCTTCTCCCAACCTAATTTCAAATCCATATAAACAGTTCTTCCGACCTAAATTTCAAAACCATATAAACAGGATAAATAATTTCAGACTGTGCTCAGATTTCAAATATTGAAGTGATATTTTTTTCTTTTCAAAGATAGCCTTACCTCATAAAATGTGTTAGTTTTTATATCTTTCATAAACAAAACACACATTGGGTCTGATTTAGAGAAAACATCCATGTCTGCTAAATTTCTGAAAATAAAACCCACAATATACAATGTACATGATGCTGTGCAAGTGAATTATTTACTGATACAGAATTTTAATTTACTGACTCCTCAGTATAAACCTAAAATTATTACAATGTCCTGCTGTTTACTGTTGACAAATAACTTACCTAGCCAGGTAAATTATTTTATTTTTTAAAAAAACTTCCCTAAAGGTCTTTTGACAATTTTAACAACAAAGCAGAACAACATTAACAGTGAATCTGACATACACATGACACTGATCTATATTCCCCCAGTCAGTGGTATAAGTATAAAGCAGTTACCTGCACTGGACACTGATTTCCACCTGAGTAGCCGGGACAACAGCAGTGCCAGCCTGAAATCCACCTGGACCTGCAGTCGTCATGTTGATGTACTGAAAATCATGAAGAAATTTTTCACTATTGTAATGAAATTTGTGAATATGAAATATATAGTGCTCCGATAGAATAGGAATAACTGAATAACTATCTTTTCATTTGTTATTTGCCATCCTTGGCATTAATGTTGATTTAATGGTTGCCAACATTCATTTTGCAGCTCAGCTTACCTTGCAAACATCATAAACATTTCACAGGTAAAAATCAGTTTCTGACAATCACATAAGCATCAAGGGTTGCAAATAATTTCAAAAAATTGGAGACCAATTCCAAATAACAAAAAATTAGGAGACCAATTCCAAACAACAAAAATTTATCATCCTCAGCTGTATACATCATGTACATCATGATACATTGTACCAGGTGCTGATTCTGAGAGGGGTGCTTACAGCAACCATCCCCATTAAATCAAACACAAAAATTTTAGGTCTATATAGGTTTCACTGACATATATAGATGAATGTTGGTAAGATTACAGTTAATACATGTATTCTGCATATCAAAGTTATGATCTCTTCATAATAGTCTTATTGTTAACAGGTTAACTCTCAAAATATCCAGGGAACTCTACCCCTGGTCCTTCACCCCTAGTCCTTTACCTATTACGTAGCTGGGGACCTCAAAGTAACAAGATTCCCAGGAACTAATAGCCCATTCCCCCTCTAAAAATTCTGGATAGTGTAGAACATCATAATCAACTTTGTATAAGTTCACAGGCGAAAAAGGGTGGGGCACTTGATACATTTCCCTTTTGCGATATTTTGTCCTAGGAAGGGTAAATTAAAAAAAAAATGTTTAACGAAACATATAAAAGTTTCTGGGCTTAGTACATTTTTATCGACTTCTAGGCCTAGTTCGGAAATGTGTTATGTCAATATCTAACTAATGTAGACTAAATTCAAATTTTAACATTTCGTCGATTGCCATTCAAAAGAAGTCATATTGAAATATGCATTCACATATTTATGGAAATTATATGCCTTATGCTTATTGAAATTATTCTACTCACTTTGGCCTTTAGTTTATATGTGAAAGATATGTTAGATCCTCAATTATTCTTGTAAACAACATTACAACATATTTTGAATTATCGTTCTTACTTTCTATATCCCGATCCCGATGAAAATTCTCATCAAAGTAAGGATTGAGACGATGTTCGAAAAAAATACGATGGTTGAAGGATTAATGGCTAGGGAATTTTGCGTTGCAGTATATACTGCAATATTTTAACTGTATTGCAACGTGTACTGCGTTATTTTCATTATAAAATAAAAATGTCATGATTAAAAACGGAGACAAATATTTATATTAATTTATTAAATAGATTTATTATGTGTCTAAGTTAAAAAAAACAAACAAACCAGGGAACAGGTGCAAAGGAAGAGCACATGGGCTTGTGTAGAGAAAAATAAAGCAGTTAGAAAATGAACCTCGGAGAAAAAACACTGTAATTATGTCTCAGGCACGTAGCATCGTTTTTGAAAGGGGGGGGCAACCGTGATAAAAAAATTTTTTTTGCTTACCTGAAAAGAAATTTGGCCAAACTCGAAAATCCTATTTCGTGGAGGGGGGGGGGGGGAGGGTATGGGGGTAGTGGCCAACTTTTTTTGAAGGCCAACTTCCTTTCACTTCCATTTTTTTTTTTTTTTGCATACATTTCCTTCCTACATTTCCTTCATATTACTATACTGTGGTAAGAAGTGGGGGGGGGGGGGACCAATCTTTCAATGGACATTTTCAATAGTAAAGGTAATGTTGGCCCCCCTGTTGCTACGTCCCTGTGTCTTGATAAGTAATCGATAAGGCAATATTCCCGTGATCAAATTTAGTATTAGAAAACAATTCAGGCCTTATAATTAGTACGATTTTTAAATTTCGATTTTTAAAGTTAAGCACATTGGACACCTTTACTAATAATGTTATCATAAAGACCATAGAATATACGAAATGCTAACTGTAAAGCGAGGTTATTGTAATCCCTGTATTGAAAACTTATATGTCAGTAGCCTGCAAGCTCCAGACAGCTCAGTATTACGTTACGCTACAACTCCATATCATTATTCGTTGGGCACGAAAGTAGTCCAGGAGAATTGACACTGTATGGAGTTTGCAGTAGCCTGTCCCAATATAAAACTGAGCGGTATCAGAGAGCGTGTTTTTGACTACTGAATTAGACGAAAACACAAAATGAAAGTGATACCCGGTAGCGCAGAACATCACTACATGTATAATATATAAAAGAAAAGTTGATATTTGATAATGTAAAAGTTGAAGACGTCTCCTTTGTCATACATTTTGTAGTGTTGTCCATTGTCGCCTCTTGTCATTAAAAATCCAAAATGATGTTAAAAAGATGTGGTAGACACTGCAGTATGTTTAATTTCAATTTCTGGGATCCATGCAGTGTACATGCATTTAAATTTGTAGTCGAAAGCCACAGCAAGTATTTTTTCCTCGTATCTATAGATGTTTTAGAATAAATTCTGCTTGAAGAAGCATAAAAATAGGTTCGCTAACAAAGGTGGGCAAAATACGTGCCCATAGGAATCCCAACATTTTGTTTGAAGACTTTGTCTGCCAAGACCATGCAATTAAGGATTATCAAAGAGAAAGAGGGACCTCGGCATATGACATATTTCCTAAAATAATAGCTTAAGAGAACTTGTGTATGGAATCAGAGTGAATTTTTAAAAAAGTTTTTGTTAAAAAACCACAACAAATAAAAATGTCGTGGGGAACGGGAATATTAAGTGTACACTATGGCACGCCAAATTCACAAAAATGAGCTAAACCTAGTTTCACAATTGATAAACTAGGTTTATCGACTGTAAACTATAGTTTACAAACCGTAAACTATAGTTAACAATTCGTTAAGTATAGTTTTCATTTGTAAAACTGTATTTAACGGTTGTTAACTATACTTTACGAATGCTAATATAAGTTTATCTGTCTGTAATAAAACGTTAATAATAGATTTTGTTGATAAACATAGATTCACGTCTATAAACTATAATTTACCATCGTTATCTATAGTTAAGAGTTGTAAACCATAGTTTACAAATCATGAAACTGTATTTATAAGATAATCTATGTTTTGAGACCGTAAACTATAGTTTACAATCGATAAACCTAGTTTATCGACTGTGAAACTATGATTAGCTCATTTTTGTGAATTTGGCATGCTAAACCTAGTTTCACAATTGATAAACTAGGTTTATCGACTGTTAACTATAGTTTACAAACCGTGAACTATAGTTTACAATTCGTTAAGTATAGTTTTCATCTGTAAAACTATATTTAACGGTTGTTAACTATAGTTTACGAATGATAATCTTAGTTTATCTGTCTAATAAAACGTTAACAATAGATTTTGTTGATAAACATAGATTCACGTATGTAAACTATAATTTACGATCGTTAACTATAGTTAAGAGTTGTAAACCATAGTTTACAAATCGTGAAACTGTATTTATCAGATAATCTATGTTTTGCGATCGCAAATGATTGTTTTTGGTGTGAAGTATAGTTTACGGTTGTGAAACATAGATTATCACGTTAACTATGATTTACAGATGTAAAATATAGATTAACTTTGTTAACTATAGTTCACAGTCCGTAAACTATAGTTTACAATCGATAAACCTAGTTTATCGACTGTGAAACTATGTTTTGCTCATTTTTGTGAATTTAGCGTGCCATGGTACACTGTAGACCTGTCGTTGAATTGTTTTTTTTCAAGTATCATTCAGTCGTGATTCAAATATGCGTTGACAATATTTAATTTCAATTTTAAATGTTTCTGATTTTTTTTAAGGAATTTCCGGTCAATTAGTTTGATAACTTTTTGTCTTAATCTGTTTCGATTAATGCATGCTTTTTTTTTCTTAGTTCGGGATCAAACTAAGGTTTGGCTGCTACAGTACTCAGTGTCTTTTCCTTATTGCTTTTACATGTAGGTAGACATTCTCTTAGGAGGTCTAAATATGTAATGGTAAAGATTTCGTCGATTCGTCATTACAAGTAAAAGCTTCTATATATTATCAATCTTCCATCTCATGCCTTGGTTAGGATATGCTGCTGACACCGGACTTTGAAAATCCTTTAGGAGTTACGAGTATTTGGCCTGGAAGATGTCAATTCTATTTTCCTCTGTCGTGGTGAGCTTCCAAGTCTCACAGCCATGTAACAATTAGACAGACAAAACCATGCCCTTGATGGGAGTGACTTTGGCCTTTCTGCTGTGTCCGTAACACCGGAGAGCCCTATCCTCTTCATGATATCAATAGTACCTCCGCTGTCCATTGTGACATTTTGCGCCAAGCTATGTGAACCTGACCAATTCTTTGTCGCCAAATCATATGCTAGTTGTTTATCTTCAGCACTTTGCATTCCTTGACATTGAGCTTCACCCGATTTTTACCAAGTTGTCAAGTTGTTCTTGGTTGTCTTGGACTGGATATCATTCCTTGTTCCAGACAGTGTCATGTTATCGGCAAAGTCAAGGTTTTAAGCATATTCGTGAAGTCTCCGCGAATCCCGTTTCTTTTTTCTCTGACTGCTTGTTGCACCACAGTCTATCACAAGGAGAAACAAGAAACATGACATACAACAGCCTTAGTTTACATCACAGTTTAAGGAAAGGGGTTGTGAATTCGTTATCATCGTCAATCACATAGCATTTATTGTCTCTGTGCACAAACTCAAAAGCTTTCTCGAAGTCCACAAAATGAATATACATTTTTTATTCATATCCTGCAAATTCTTTTAAAAATGGCAAAGTTGAAGTATCTTTTCACTACTTCATATAGAGCACAACCTCTGATCCAAAATGTGCCATTACATAATTAAGATCTGTTTCTGAAGATCATAAAACATGTTTTAATTTTTGTACTGTTGGTTATGCTCATATCTTAATTCTTTGCTGAAGGTAGTCACAAACGCATGTTTTCTGCAAAATTTGAGAAAAGAAAATATTGTCATAGGAAATGAAAGCACTAAATCTCTACTTTATTTTGATATATGAAATGTGACAGGTGATAGTAAATTAATATAATATAAGGACAGGGCCATTTTTTGCAGAAAGTGAACCTAGCTTTTTATTTCCCTATTGAACATGACAAAGATAACACAGCGAGTGTGACCGATTGGCAGGGGATTCTCACTCCTTCATGACACCTGATCCCATCTCCGATGTTTTCGAGGTCTGTGTTTGCTCTGCTCCTGGTTTGTAACGTTTAAATGGACTTTAGAGTTTGAATTATGTTCTTGAGCTTCGTATATTTACGTATTATTCAGCAACTACACACCCCTTGCTCTTCGGTGATGTTATTTGTCAGCTACCCGGCCTGTCCTGTCAGCATCTTAACAATGCTTTATAAGCTCTCTTGCCTCCCATTCTCAACCGCTTTCATTGCTCGCTAACTTTTGTTCGCCATCCAAACACATTTTAAAGCCTTTAAATTCAGTCCTAAATTGAAAAGATTCTTTAATAAACAATTGCAAGCATATGTGAAATTACGCTTAGATGTTAAAGTAAAAGAGACAACTGAAAAACAAAAAACAAATAAACTTCAACAAGAAACTGAATTCAATAACTTTTATTAAAAAATAATGAATGATATTAATTGTTTGTATATAATAACAAAAAAAAACCCCGATGCATAAGGATATACATGTATAATGATGTATACATTTCTATATATTTTTCACAACAGTCATAAAAAATAAAATATGGATATCATGAATGTTAATTCAATACAAATCGTGAGTGCCATTCAATATCATACAACAAAAGGAATATCATTTTGGGTACGTTGATATACACATAATCACAGAAAATACCTTGAGCTTAAGATTAAACAGTTTTGGCATACTAGCAGCAACATTAAGCTAATTTTACTCCTCGGACAGAAGAAAAACCTTCAAACAACAAGCACACTAAGCCAAGACATTCACACACCAACATACAGTAACGTAAATATTATTTTTACTTAATTAAACAACTGTTAATGCTTGATTCCTTCATTGCAAACACATTCATACAAACAAAATGATTGCCAGTTTACTTCTTCTGTCGAAAATACACTTGCACAACGAACAAGACCATACAATAAAGTATAACGTGAAATGGTAAATTTAATTTAGCACACATTCTTGCACTTAAATCATTACTTTTTTAAATTCAGGTTTACGTTTGGAAAACTAGCTTTAGCAGTTAAAATGTATAAATTTCAAAAATATATAAATATTGCCATGGGAGATTAACATAATCCAACCCCAAAAATTAAATAAAAAGATATAAATGTACAAATTTTATTGCACCCTCCTAGTATTTAATGTTACGACAAAAATGTTCCGGATACTCATTAAAAGATTGTCTCAGACTTTCTCTGTATGATGGCGGCGGGCACTCTGGATGTTCAGAATCCTTTGTGGCTTCGTCATAGCTTGGCGGTTTCACCGGATGCACTACTATTTCTGGACTTCCGCCTGCTCCTGCATTAGTACGTTGGCTCTGTGTTACAATGTCGTAAATAGCAGCGGTCATTAATCCACACTGGCGATCTGAAATATGATTGTATAAAATTTATGTCAGGCTATTATTTATTTACAGTATGTTCTGCTTTTTTACGTATGCCCGATCATTACAAAGAACATGTGGTGAGCCTGGCCGGTTAAAAGGGAATGCTTACTCCTCCATGACACCCGATCCCACCTCTGATGCTTTAGAGGCCTGTTTGCTCTACTCTCAGTTCATGTACTGTTTTTATAGCCTTTTGGGGTTCATCACTGTCCCTGATATCGATATTTCAATAAAAAAACCTTTAGTTATTCATATATTACTAGTAAATATTTATTGCCTGGGACTGACTACAACATGCGTTTTGCTGACGAAAGATTCAAATTGTCTTAGGCAAGTTTGATCCAGAGAGGTCAATATGCTTTTAGAAATTTAAAGACTTTTACCTTACCGGGATTTTCATTGGAAAAAATAAAATGGAAATAAGGGGTTTACTTAAATTCATTTATTGCCTTTACTTCTAGCCTCCCCCTCTTTGAATGTGTGGATCTATATATCTATGCAATCTTTTTCTATCCCATTTTCCTCTGATACCTTAAACCTTTTACCTTGTTGGCGAGAATGTTGACTATATCTTGCTTTTCTTTTTATAACAATCACACACAAGACGCCTAGAATCAATACGAAGGCTCCAAAGAAGAACGCTACTTGGTAAGTTGACCATACTCTGAAATGCATTATTTTTTTAATGTATCTATATAATTATATGTTTGAGCAATAACAATAAATCGCCAATACTTTCTTTTTTAACTTTGAGACGTTTGAATACTCACGAGCTGATATCTTTATCGACATCTGGCGCTGTAGTTCTAGGTACCTTCACAGTAGAAACAGTTGTCGATTGGGAATCTGTAGACATAATTACGAATGTGATTAATACAATATATGTAAATTTTATATAGCAATTCTAACAAAAAGTTTATGACAATGAATATTTTCATTTGATTAAATTAAGCTGCCCGCTTGACGCTTTGGTTTAGAGTTCTCTCCTTCTGATGTGAACATAAAAACAAGTGTTGCAGTAGGTGTTGACACGAAAAAAGCCTCCACTATTGGACAAAATTTATAGCTCTCCACCGGCGAGTGGTGGCGTTTCCATATATTATATGTGTGAAAAATTCTCGAGATGGACGTTAAACAAACACACATTACGGTTCAAGTTCATTTTGCTATGAGGGGAGGATTTATGACCGTAATACAACGGGTCGTAGGTCCTTTGCTAGCTAATGTCAATTTAGGAAGTTACCTGAGCAATTTCTATCCAATGAACAATTAGCGTTGGGACCTAAAACAAAAGAAAACGATAAACATGATAAAAAATTGAAAAAAAAATTAATTTCTAGCTCGCTGTGTGTGTTCAAGTCGGATGCAGTACAGCTAAAGGGTATATTCAATATATTTTTATTCATAATATATTGTAAAATTGTGTTATAACATGTGATTAAATTAATGGCCTTCTTTCATAACTTCCATTTTTCGTAACAAGTTCTAGTATTTCACCTAAAAAGATTGTTCCAGATAATGCTAGGACTTAGTAGAATTTTATTTCGTTTAAATTCCGGTACTTCCATTTAAATGAAATTCACGGTCTAATTATGATGAATCCAAATATTTTGTTTACGACGCAATTGTCATCGTATCTGCACAGTCAATTGCAAAGATAAACAATGAATTCGGGTAGTTACATAATCAAAAAACCCGGGGAACTTGACAATGCTTGAAACATGTGGTACATACTCGTATTTGAAAATTGAATTAATATTATTCAAAAGAATTTGTTATAGCAATTACTTATGTAAAGTTCTACTCTGTTTAACACCTCCCCCCCTTCCCTTATGAATTATGGTCTATTGCCCCACCCCACCCCACCCCCATATCCAGCTTACCGTAATGTTATTAATTAAACCTGAACTATTAACATTTTTACTTGCATCCAAGAATACATGTATATGAGACAAATAGACTATCCAAACTTCATTATATACGTATACGTCTTTAATTATGCAAATTGAAAGCAATACGAATTATATAATTATCCACAGAAGTAAAAGAATATTTTCAAAATTTTAATTTACTCTTCATAATACAGGATGTATGATTTCAAAGAGAGAAGTACTCTAATTTTAGCATATGAATTTGAAATAAAACAACAAGTACGAAAATATAAGTACATGTACACTACTACACACCATTGATGGATAAAAATATGTTTCTACATGCTTAATCAAATTCATCAGTTTATTTTTTTTACTCGAGGCGGGACAGTAATCGCTGGCATATGGAACTACGAGGTTGTTTCAACGAATGTTTTTTGACTGCCTTATAATTTTGATTGTGTGTACAGTCGTCAGTAGCTGTTTATTTTAGCGAAGACAAGAAAAAGAATTAAATAAGGAAGTTTAAAAATCAGGACAGGGGATTTACCTTAATATTCGATACCGATTTGATCACAGAATATATATCGGTTAAATATATATCAATAAACAGTTAATAAAATAGACTTACCAATGATAAAAAAGGTCACAAGTGTCAGGACACGACATAGCCAGTCCATCGTACGCCCGATCTTTAATTGTGTATTTCGTGCTTAAAACACAGTGGGATGCATTGTGTATATTTTAAAAAATATTGCATCACGACAGTTCAAAGAAAGTCAGTCACCCGTGTCCGGTGTCAATGGAATATTTAAACAGATATGAAGAAAAGAAAACACGGGAAAACAATCTAGTTTAACGACAATGAGAGTTCCTACATAATAAGGATTAAGTTGCTAGGGTTAACATTAAAAGATCATAAATGTTTGGCTAAAGCTTATATCCACAATTTTATCTATTTCCTTTTTGTTGAATCTCTGTAAAGTAGTTAGATATTGCGGCATGTCATTTTTTTTTTATCTGATGGCGATAACACTTTTGAGAATATCCAACAAATGATGATTTGGAATAAATAAAGATAAAAAAAAATATTCTTAAAATTAAAACAATTTCAACGATTCTAAGGTACTAAATATACATGTACGATGCAATGACTATATAGGGATTAAAAACACGCGGGATATAATAGGAGTATACTCTAGATGTTGAATGATTAATGCATGTGAATCTTCTAAAAAAAACAATACTTTTGACTAGCTTAATTAAATAACTAGGTTCATCTAGAGAACACTCATCAGATAAAAAAGATCAAAATATTTGATTTATTAATTATTTTTGAACCGGAATCATAAATTAAGTATTGGATTAAAAAAATATGAAAAAATATTTGTTTAATTCAGTCAGTATTTCAAAAAAAAAAAAAAGTCTAATCATAACAAACAGCTAACTTATCGGCAATTGCAATCAAAAGTACATGTATGAATGAAAAAAAAAAACAAAAAAAACAAGGAAATTCAAATATATGTAGTCCCCCGCTTTCGGTGTCTTTGTGGATGAGATGTCATTTTTTAAGCGGTTAGCTTCGCTAGCCGCTATATGGCATGTGTCGGCAACCGGAAACCTCCATAAGGCGCTACCTATCGGCATCGCTTTATCGCTCGTAACCTTATCCTTCTGCAACCAAAACCGGAAACTTCCACAAGGACCTACCTATCGACAACGGTAACTTCAGCAAATGATTTGTATACTGTCGGCGTAATACGCCCCCTGGTTAGAGATTGACAATATGCTGTGATGTCTGACTAAAGCCAGTCCCTACTGTATCACTTAGTACTAACGAAGTATATGCTGTGTATGAAGAGTGGCTATTATTACGATTATATCGAATTCTTATAGTAAATTTACCAAAGCATTGACAATACTTACAACATTTACTTTTAAGAACTGAGAATTTGGTCCTTATAACATGTGTATCGCGCGATCGCGATTTCTGGCAACTGTTAGTTTATTTTTGAAAGTTTATTATACAGCAGGTTGGAGGTTATTACAGACTGCAAAAACATCAGCAAATCTCTCGATCGAGTTTGATTTTCCTTGCCAAAGTATTAAGAAACACCACTTTTTAAGTTAATACCTGAAAAGCGCTTTTATAAAAACACCGAACGCATCTGTAAGTTTTTCACTTTTTGTAACGTTTTATGGAAACAATAGGGTTACCTCCACTATGAAACGTTTGTTTTTCTTCTCTTTTCTTCTCTGTCTAATAAACAGATTATAAAAGCTCTGCTCCCAGGGATAAATTCTCTACTCAGTCTTTGATAATACTTAATATCGCGATTACTTAACTTAGGGGAACTCTTTCGCGATGGAGGTAGGAAACGTCTGTTGGCTGGGGACAACTGTGCTATTGAATACAATGCAAGATCGATCGTTGTAGAATTTATAAGGACAGATAAGTAAAAAATCCTGGTGGAATACCTTGCATAACAATCACCAAACCAGTCTAATTAATTTTTGAGAGGATGTAATCCTAAAATGTTACATTTTAACGATATTTTTAACCAAGCGGGCTCTTCTAATTAAATTTTCATTGAAAATCGTCGCATTTTAAAGCTGATAAAATAATCTAAACATTCCTTATTTGACAATCTACTATTTGGAATTAAATTCTAGGCAATACATTGTACTTTCGGCATAAAATTGTTCAAATCATTCGATTGTCACTACTGTAAACAAAGCCATGCGCCCCTGTAATCTCGTGAGATTTGAACTTTCTCGACTCCCCCGCAAAAGAGCGGTAGTAAGTTAGATAACTGCGAAGTAAGCGCGATATTACGTATTTATAACAATCGATCATAAGGGATTACTTACTATTAGTTTTGTAAAAAATAACGGAGCACTTAATGTAGTAAAATCAATTTTGAAAAAAAAATGGAGAAATATATATTAATTTTAATCAGCATTGTGATCCTCTTCTAAAAATCAACCGATATTATTTTCACAGAAGAATGAGGTATGAAAAATTTTCGCAATTAGCAAAAAATTAAAATATATACTTAATGCTTATTTATAAGTTTTGAAAATTTGATCAATTCCTAGGGAACGTATTATTAGCTGTGAAAATACTTTTAAAATTTGAATTTGTCCAATTTGTCGATTATTGTTTTAAACTTTTGAGAAGAATAAAATTAAAATACAGGTGTTTAGAGGCACATTGATAGAAAAAAATCAGTGTATATTGTTTAACCGACATATTGAAGAAAGTGACACTGATAACTTCTTAAGTTACACTGATTTTTAATGTATATTTGAATTTTTAAATACTAGTATTGATTGATTACACAACTTTCCTTTTCATGCTTTATTTGAGAACAATATTGCATGAAGAGTATATGATAAAAACACCTTATATGTCCTTATCTAGATATTGTGCCTTATATTGTGCAAGACTTCTTTCAAATGATTCACATATACCATTTACTTTATTCGAACATTTACTTGTTTGAAAAGTCAATAAAATATATTTCATAAAGCTTGATAATCTTGTTTACTCGCCAGTCGTCCCGTAGAAGTAGTAGTTTATAATATTACTAAAGGAAGTATTCAGTATCTGTATCAAAATACAGAATGATCAATGATCGATTTTAGAAGAAAAGCTGATTCCTAAAGAGTTCAAGAGGTGGGATCCGTTGCCTAGAAAAAGTAAGCATCCCTCGTTGACAGGTTAATTACATTGCCGCGATGAGCCTACACAACTGAATCTCTCTGATATCAATTCATTTACAAAGTCTCTCCTCAGCCATCTTTTTTTCTCTGACTAGCCAGCTGTAGATCTACACTACTCCAAATCCATTAATGTAAAGAATTTAACTTGTCATTTTTTTATTTGTTTATTACAGTAGGCTTTACAATTACCTAATTTCAGATTCAATAGAGAATAAAAGACAATGAAATTTTCAACATCAACATAATTTTTTTTTATCCAAAGAACAATTGGATGCCATCAAGAGAGAATTTTTAAAAATGCACTTCTTCTCTTTCAAACTGAAGAAATCTCATGTTTAAATTTTGAAACATGCATTTCAATCTTATTAAAATTTATTTAAATGTTTCAAATCCGCTACCGCTTCTGAAACATCTAACATCCCATTCGGGGTCACATCAGAGCGACCTTTCAATTATGAATACATGATATGTACAAGTAAACACAAACACTTTGGCCATGTAGATTCAATCCTCGGTAAACAGTTTTCAAATTAATTCCACGGCTACATATCATCATTATTGATACTGTCTTACGTTGAATTAAAGTCATTTTGGATTAAATTTCATGTATCTTCTGCAGTCTGGCATCTAAACGTGAATAATGCAAACGAAAGAGCACAAACTATACAAGATACCCCACACGTCATACATAACACAACTTTTGCAATGCATATCTTTTTACTACAAAACTCCTCGGGCGTTTTCGTTGGGTGGTGAAAACAAGAAACCCATCTGAACTATTAGCCAGGATTTCGGAGGAACCATTTTCTTTGCCTAATCGAAGATTCACTCTTACATGATCCCAAATAGAATGTTGTTAGATGTTTGAGAAGCAGTAGCGGATTCGGAACATCTAATTTTAATTAGATTGCATCCATCTGTGACATCAGTTTGGAATGTTATTGGTTTTACTATTGAGTAAAGTATTACAAAAACAGAATGTCTGGGTTTTCTCTTGTTCTCTAATGACATTGGACAAAGATATGCATACTTAAATATCATCATTTTATGCACTTTTTCGGTACATATTAGATAAAAGCATGCTAACCGCTTTTCAGTACTTTCAGTACTTTGATTATGACATATTGTGTAAAATATAAACGCCCTATCATATGTCATATAGAAATTATCACCAAAATTAATTTTAAAAAATAAGGTCAATTGTGAAGGTCAAGGTCAAGAGGTCAGAAATCATAGCATGGTCGGAAATATCTTGTCACAGGTAATACACATGTCAAATATTGAAGCCCTATTTCTTCTCAAAATAAGGAAGCAGATGTGTTTGTGAAACACTGATGGCCCCATATAGCAACATAGCGAAGGTTTAACTTTTCTTAAATACCCAATGTAGGGTCATCTCACAAGAAATACGATTGTCAAATATGAAAGCCATAGCACCATCTGTTCAAAAGTTATGGCCAAGGATAAGTTTTTGAAAGGTAGGCCAAACTCTAAGGTCAAAGAGTCAAAGTTGTTGGTTCCTAAAGAAAGGCCTTTCACAAGTATTAAATATGTGAAGTATGAAAGCCCTAGTCCTAACCGTTCAAAAGTTATGGCCACAGTTTTTTCATAAGTAAGGAAATCTCAAAGATGAAGGTCAAAAGGTCAAAGTTGTTGCTATCCAATGAAAGGTCTTGCCACAAAGAATACATAAGTGAAATATGAAAGTCCTAATATCTATCGTTCAAAAGTTATGACCAAAGTAAAAATTTGTTATTATTGTGTAAAAGTGGGTCAAACTCCAAGGTCAAGGTCAAAAGGTCAAATTTGGTGGTACCCAAAGAAAGGTCTTGTCACAAGGAATACACAGGTGAAATATGAAAGTAATAGCACCACTAAATCAAGAGTTATGGACAAGGTTAAAGTATTTGTGACGGACGGACAGCTAGACAGCAATTAAATTAATGTCCCTTCGTCTTCGCGAAAGCGGGCGACAATAATAATCAATTAACAAAGTTCTTATTAACTTTTACCTTAAAATTTTAGCTATGATTTCTCTCATAGCTTTTGATATGATTCATTATGCGTGGTAAAAATTATAATCTGTGCATCTTAAGTAATACGTATGAATCCAATGCATTCAAACTGGGAATCGATTGAAATCGGGATTAAATCGGTCCATTTAATAATTATTTACTTCCTTAACAATACACGGATTTTAAACATATGGTTTTATCCAAAATACTAGTAATCTTAAATCTTTAATTGAATAGTAGATATACCCAATAAAACATCTCTTTTCCCTTTGTGATACTTTCACGAAAAGATATGATGGAATGTAGTTAAAACTCTAAGAGTTCATCTGTTTAATAACAAAGATCTCAATACATTCATTTGTCCTTCTGTCAGTCCGTCCATCTGTCCGTCCGTCACAAAAACTTCAACCTTGGTCATATCTGTTGAATGAGAAGAGATAGGGCTTTCAAATTATACATGTACCTGTATATTACCTGTGACAAGACCTTTTTTTTAAAACTCTGATTTTTGACCCTGTGACCTTGACTTTGAAGTTTGACCTAGTTTTAAAAATTAAAGACTTAAAATTGACCATAACTTTTGAATGAGAAGAGATATGGCCTTCATATAAACATGTGTATTATTTATGATCGACAAAACCCTTCCAAACACCTTATGATTTTTGATCTCGTGACCTTGAGCTTGAAGTTTGACCTACTTTTCAAAAGCATTACGGCCTTGCTCATGACTTTTGAATGAGAAGACGCTTTCCATTTAAACATGAGCATTGCATGTGACAAGACCTTTTTTAAATACACTAAGATTTTTTTTTATCTTGTGACCTTGTCTTCGAAGTTTGACCTAATTTACAAAAAAATATTTAAATTGTCCCTATAACTTTTAAGAGGAGATAGGGATTTCATATTTGACAATTTGACTTGTGCATTTCCTGTGACAAGATATATCCAAGCATGCTATGATTTCTGGCACCTTGACCTTCATGACTGACCTAATCAGAAAAAAAACAACTTCGGTCATAACTTCTGAATGACATATGAAAGGGAGTTCATACTTGACGCAACATGCCATAAAAATAACATTTCACCTACAAAGACACCGAAAGCGGGGAACCTCAATTCTTTGAATCTGCCTGTTTATCGTTCATTTTGCAGTTTGATAATTGGGTGAGATTTACTCGCTCTTGAATGCATTCTCTTTAAAGTCACATAAGTAATAAATAAATGTATTCTGTAATCTTCAGACTTTTATTTGTTTCCAGTCTTTCTTTCATAATATTTAGTACAAAATTATATACATATAAAATTTATGATTTCATTTTCCTGTAACGTATTATTTCTGCAAATTTTTCTATTTTCGATGCAGCATGTACGCAATGGTTTAAAAAAAAAAAGAAGGATTATTTTCATTTTTTTTTTTTTGCATTAAGATTTTTATAGACACGTGCTCAAACACTACCGACTGTAGCAAGGATAATAATTCTTGTTTAAAGAACGGAAGGACGGGAACATATACGTAAGGTTACGGTTTCAGTATTGTATTGTAATAAGAAAAGTGTAGAGCAGATTCATTGTATAATATGTGTACAAGATATATTGTAGCATGAAATACATGCTACTAGAAAGATTGTCCTCATGATGTATGATAATGTGAATGATTTCAGCATTTGAAAACAACCGAATGAACGAATTGATTATAGCAGGTACTTGTATTGGATGTTTTATCCCAGGCGTTCTCATCTGTTTGGGTATTGTTTTAATGTTTTGGAAGCAAAAAACCCGAGAGAGGAAAAATAAATGAGTAAATGGGGAGTGATGATAAATAAAATGAAGAGGGGTCTTATCCCGTTAAACATTGGTTGTGAAGTATTAAACATGTGATAAAAACAATCTCACATGATTTGTAGTTAGTTGTGTGTTTTTAACCCCTCGCCAAGGCTCGGGGATATAAAACACACAACTACTTGGATACAAATCATATCCAACTACAAAACATGTAAGATGCTGTATCTATATTTCCTTCCTTCCCTGTGCAGAATGGAAAGGAAGTAAAATAATATTTTCATACAAGCACATATTCAAATATTGAAAGAAGACTTTAGATAAGACATATATTATAGCAATATATCCCAGGGATTGAGAGAAGATAAGGGTAAGAATGTGGTAAGTGTTTGAATAAGGTTAATTTTAATTTTAATTTTACAAATATGGATCTGTATTTTCATTGAAAAACTTTTCTTATTTGTGTTTTGAAAATATAAAATTTTGTTTAGATGAACAGATGAAAAATCTAGACGCACACTTAACATTATATCATGGATTTGAGAAGAGTTTTTGGTAAGATAACAATATTTTAATACTGGTATTCTTAACCTTTTTTTGCATTTTTAAGCATACAACCTCTCCAAAATTAACATGTTTCAAATAAATTTGTGATTTCATATATCTACAAATATAAAATGAAAGTAGATGCCCTTGATTGGTTGGTTGATTTTATGTTGTTTTATGTCTCATACGAGATATTTCCACTCATAGAAGAGCGTTACCATATATATATGAAGAGCTTCAAATTTTGACCTTTACTCGGCACTTAGGGCCATTGAACAGTGAGGAATCTTTATCGTGCCAACACCTGCCTTGGTACGGGACCTCGGTTTAATGCCAACAGTAAGCCCAACATTAGCGCACTATTATACATAACCAGCTATCAATATTCCATGTTGGGCCATTGTTGGCCCAATCAAGGTAACCCAACATAGATAATAGAACCATAATGTAAGATTTGGCAACGGTGTTCTGCTATCTGGGTTATTACAAATAAATAAGCATATACACAATTCAAAAAAATAGAATAAAACACTCTTTGGTGCTTGATCACTTAAGTGCAAAGTTAAAATGTTGAAAATATCATATCTAAACAAAAGCAGTCATCCAATGATAAGCATGGACATAGAAAGTCCTCTTAATTATTTCAGAATGTACCAACGTTGTCCCAACGTAAAGCTCAGCAGCTAATTATAAAATTGACACCATCAATTAGTTGGCAGTATAATAATTGGGCCAACGTTGGCCCAATATAGATATCCCATCTTTGAAGACCTAAACAAAATAATACTTGTGTGTATTACAAACATTGTGCCAACGTTGGGCCGACATACTACTACCAACTTGATAGGACACGTTCTTTAAGGGTGCATTACAAACAATGGGCCAACGTTTGGCCAACATACAACTACCAACTTGATAGGATACGTTCTACAAGGGTGTATTACAAACAATGGGCCAACGTTGGGCCAACATAATACTACCAACTTGATAAGGCACTTTCTTTAAGGATGTATTACAAACATTGTGCCAACGTTGGGCCAACATAATACTACCAACTTGATAAGGCACTTTCTTTAAGGATGTATTACAAACATTGTGCCAACGTTGGGCCAACATACTACTACAAACTTGATAAGGCACTTTCTTTAAGGGTGTATTACAAACAATGGGCCAACGTTGGGCCAACATACTACTAGCAACTTATAAATACTTTTTCTTTAAGGGTGTATTATAAACATTGGTCCAACGTTGGGCCAACGCCATGATCCATCCTTCTTTGGAAACTAAAGTGAATGGAAGTTGCTTACGTTGGACCAACAATGGGCCAACATAGGAATTCCGTCATGGTCGAGAAGGTTGACTTGGTAACATTGGTCCAACGTTGGCCCAACGTTGTTCCCCCAACGCCAACCATACAACCTTTAACAAATGTTGGCCCAACATAGTCATGCTATCTGGGAATGTACAATTTTGTTTAGAGGAACAGATAAAAAATCGAGACGTGCACTGAACATTATCATGGACCTGAAAAGAGTTTTTGGTAAGGATATTTTAAACCTCCTTTTTTGCATTTTTCAGCATACAACTTCTAAAAAATTAACATATTTCATATATCTGCAAATATACAAGTAGATGATCTTGAATATTATTTGTCATAAACTAAGACTTGAGGTATATATGTAATTATGTTTATTATACATGTCTATAGTATATGTACTAGCGTGTGCCATGAAATATGCCCCTGTGAAAAGTCAGTGATTAAAATACCAATAACCCATAACTCGAGCTCATAGCCATGGTATATAAAGTTTCCCAAGGAAGTTTTTTTTTTATGAGAAATACTGTACACAAATTTTCATGGTTCGAATCTCACAGTGGGACTTGGAGACCGGTCCTTCGGATGAGACCATATAAACCGAGGTCCCCATTAGCAGTAGGTGCTGGCACGAAAAAGATCCCTCCCTGCTCAATCTCTCATTGCCGATTAAAGGACAAGACAAATACGCACGCTAACTCTTGATTCACGCCTACATTTTGGAAGCATTTAGTTGAATATAAATAGCAATTTAGCCATAAAATCTTTGTTAAATACAAAGAACAGTTCAATGGTAATTGATGCATTGTCTTAATACCAGCGCTAAACAGTGAATTATCCATAATTCTAGTTTTTGAAAAAAGAGGGGTAGACGATATTTTCCATTGGAATCGGAGTTTCAAGCATCACCCTATTTTGAAATAGTCTTGGATATGGTGTTTTAAAAATATTTTCCGTTTTCCGTTGATTACTATAGTGAACAAGATGTGTTTGTGAAATACTATGCGCCCAGTGGCAACAAATTAAAAAAAAACATATTTTAGCATAAAGGTCACAGTGAAGGTCACAAGGTCATTGATCTTGATGTCACTTGAAAGATCTTGATTAGTGGAGTATGCATACCAAATATGAAGTCTCTATCTTTCATGGTTCAAAAGTTATGATGAAGGTTCAAAAAAGCTATTTTTAGCATATAAGACACAGTCAAGGTCATAAGGTCATTGAGCTTGGTGTCATTTGACAGATATTGATTAGTGAAGTACGCATACCAAATATGAAGTCTCTATGTTCCACGGTTCAAAAGTTATTGCGAAGGTTCAAAAAAGCTATTTTTAGCATATAAGACACAGTCAAGGTCAGAAGGTCATTGACCTTGGTGTCATGTTAAAGGGCTTTATTAGTGGAGTATGCATGCCAAATATTAAGTCTCTATCTTTTATGGTTCAAAAGTTATGGCAAAGGTTAAAGTTTGCAAAAAACTTTTTTTAGCATATAGGTCACACTCAAGGCCACAAGGTCATTGACCCTGGTGTCATTTGAAAGAGCTTCATCAGTGGAGTAGGCATACAAAATATGAAGTCTCTTACATTCATGGTTCAAAAGTTATGGCGAAGGTTAAAGTTTGCAGACAAACAGACAGACAGACAGACAACTAGACAGGACAAAAACAATATACGCCTCGGATCTTTCGATTCGGGCGCATAAAAACACAAGTTAATAATTTTAAAGTTATCTCTCTTTGTTTTCCCAAATAAGTAATGTTTTATGAAAATCCATATAATTATCTATAAAAATATTAAAAATTCATCAAATATGTTACCTTTTGAAAATTGACTTGAAGGTAGGCGGGAGAAAAATACTGTCGCTCGCAGTTCTTTGCAGCTCCCCATCAGCAAGTGATGGCGTCCCCATTTGAGAGCAGAAATTCTCGGGAGGGATATAAAACAACAGATAGAAAAACAAACAAACAAAAACAAATTTTCATATCGCCCATACGGAGGAGTTCATTGTTATTTTTTTCATGATATTCTCTTTAAAATTTCTTTTTCAAGGTATTCTGCTGTTCTTTTTGCCAGTACTCACAGCGGAAAACGAAAAGAAGAGTTTGAATGGGTAAGATAATATACAGGTTTAAAAATCTTAAATATCTTAATTCTCATATTATATTTATATTACTAGTATATGAATAAAATGTTATTTAAACTTTTAAAGTAATATTAAATTGAATTTAACAGAAATTATGTAGATAATCAAATGAGCCAGGTGTTGGATTCTGGATTAACCTAATTACTGTTCAGCTTCCTTAGTTTCTTGTAATACAGCCAGTGTTATAGCCCATGATAATATACTTGACAAAATGTTTATAACATTGATCGCATTAGTCAAGTAATATTGAGAAAAAATATTGTGGCCATATAAAGAAAAAATGAGAATATTTTTACTTTTAATAATTGAAATATCTAGTACATATATACTGAAAGAAAATTTCATTCAAGTTTCGTTTTTTTAATATTCATGTAAAATATCAATTAAATTGATTAAACTACTGATCCTATAAATAGTATGAAAAGTCCCGTCTCCCTCTCCATCTTGTCGACATTTAAATAAATACTTCCTTAAAATACTAAAAATAGGATTTCAGAATGCAGTTATTTCTGTAGCAGCAAATCCACAGATGGGCCAGTGAGAATTGTACTGAAATTTACATAACATTTTCATGACTTCCAATCTTACCTATCCTTTGATCCTTTAGTTGTTAGTAAAAAATGATCATTTTGGGAATTAGAATAGCACGGTGTATACTAGTTCTCTTATATCAACTGAAAGATTAACTGCAGATCTGTAGCTCTCCGAAAAAATATATTGACAGATCGGATTTTTTTTGGAGAGCTACAGATCTGTAGTTACTGAAAGATGTACTTGAACTAAAATTTTACAACAGGGATAATCTAAACAAGCCATAAAATCATTATTCGTAGCTTTCTCTGTAGATGTTTTTATAATTCTTAATTCTTTTATTGGATACCGTAAACACCTTTAACTAATTATGCGCCCGAATCGAAAGATCCGAGGCGTATATTAATTGTTTTGTCCAGTCTGTCTGTTTGTCTGTTTAGCTGTTAATCTGTTTGTCTGGTGTCAACGTAAACCTTCGCTATAACTTTTGAACCGAGGGAGATAGAGACTTCATATTCGGTTTGCATGCTCCACTATTTAAGTTTTTTTTTAAATGTCACCAAGGTCAGTGACCTTGTGGCCTTGACTATGACCAATATGCTAAAAATTGTTAATTGGAACTATATACCGGGTGCATAGTATTTCAAAAACACATCTTATTTACTTGTATTGCCTTTTTATGTGTATTAAAAGTTTGCTCAGAAAATTGTTGTTCATTATTGAAGATGGTAATGTTATAACTCATCCTGTCAAGTTTGCTGATTGCACTATAATGTTAATACAGTCCAATCATATGTCACTATGTGATACTCATGCATTGAATAATTAACGAAACAACATTTTGTCACTCTGATTTTATGCAGTTTTTACGGGAAAATATAACTCGAAATTTTGAAGCTATTATAGGTCACAAAATAGTTCTGAAGCTTGCCACAAAACAGCGTAAGAAAAATTGAACCTTGATAATTAACTAACATTATGGATGGATTTATTTGCAGAACTGGTTGTTTAATAACAATTTTGAAAATCGGATTCAGTCATGACACCTGTGAAATCACGGATCAACATTCTATGAAATTGTTTCCGGGTATTGTTTTAGATTTTTTATCATGTCAATGCATGTCCTTTGAAAGAAAGACGTACAATGAAAGAACATTATATTTAAGGAATGAAGCTTATTTCAACTTTTGTTATGCGATATATAAAAATATCTTGGGGCAGTTTACGCTTTATAAACCGCGAACCGGTTTATAAAAAAGCGCAAACTGCCAAAAGTTATGTTATATCGTATAATATAAGTTGAAATAAGCTTCATTCCTTTTAATTTAATTTCTATGTAGACAATAAGACAATTTTTCCTCCTGAAAAAGGCTTTAAATATAGCGTATTTTAAAAGTAACGCCAAGTAGAGTAATTACGTTTTTTGACGTAACTCATTGTGACGTATGCAAGTTATGTTATACAAAATGGATAAAATATTTTATCCAATCAAATGATGTGATACAATTAAAATTGAATTATAAGGACATACATTGCAATGCAAATTATTAAAATTAAATAAACTTTCTTTGGTTATATCAATTGATTAATTGTTGTTTAATGTCCCTCTTGAAAAATTTTCACTCATATGGAGACGGCACCAGTCATGCCGGGGTTGAGCTGCAAATGTTGTTCTATACTCGGCACTCAGGCCCACTGAGCAGTGAGGGATCTTTTTCGTGCCAGCACCTACTGTGCATGCGACACAGGACCTCGGTTTATAGGTCTCATCTGAAAGTCCGGTCTCCATAGTGGGTCTTTCACAGTGGGATTCAAACCCGCGACGTAAGGATCAACTTAGTTTGCGAATCTAGAGCAGACACTCTAACTAATGAGCCACGCGGGCGACACAAATGAATAAAATTAAATGATAACAAAAATGCATAATAATAAATGTCTAGTATCTTTTTATCATTGTAGAATCTGTAGAGTTCCCCTGCAAAGATCAATGTACTTTTGAAGTGGACGTTGATGAATGTGAAAATAATCAAGAGAGGAAAAAAAGGGCCACAAATGGGAAAAGTCGGAAGATGCTTTTTAATCAGAGTCAATTTAAAGACGTGTTAATTGACATGGAATGTGCCTCAAAAAATCTATACGGTAATTTGATAAATAGTAAATAAAAATTTTATTAAATTTTTTCTGCTCATGATTTTAATCTTTGAATCTCACATATGCATATTTACATTGATATGCAATGTGAAATCTACAATGCATGGCTGATATCTGAACGGAGGTTTCAAGAAAACGGTAAAGGAATCATTCTTGCAAGTTTTAATACAAATTTAGATAAATTGGATTACTAATATATTTGCACGATCTAATGAATATTGATCAATGAGAAATAAATCACGTAGAAGAAATATCATGAAAACTACACCTAATTTTTTAGTACATGGGCCCATGAAACGATGTACGGTACTTGGTCAGTTTATTTTTTGCTCGGGAGCAGAGAAGAAGATTTTCAAAGAAATAAAGCAGTTTAGCTATATATTCTATTTAGCCCCGCCCTAGCACTAGAACCCCTGACCTTGAGGCCATGAATTTCACAAACATGGTAGAGGATTCAATGCTGATAACAATCATGCCAACAGTTTGACTGCTTGACACATCCTTGCACTTTCACAAATTTTAATTTTGTCATTAATACTTAAGAAAAGTGACAAACTTGTTGTGTATTAATATAACTTGAATAGACTAATATATTTCTCTGTTTGATATCTTTTTTTGTTAGAAAATATTTGTAAATGTTCAGGGACTTCCACAAGCAGCTATAATGATTACTCAACCAACAACAATCGTAAGTGATGACCACCTTGATAAAAATCAACAAGTTTAGATGGAAAAGATATATTTATATACGTAATGGAGTTTTATGAAGATACTTACTTTTACAATCGACGACTGTCTTTTACAATTTAAACATATACAAACTCCAATTACTAAAATGTAAAAGTCAGCAGTAGAATGTAAAAGCAAGTCTCTTCACAAAACTCGAATACTAATATTTTAGGCGAAAAAGAATCTACGACGCTTGAGCCTCAGATTGGAACATCTGATATGTACTCAGAACATCAGTCTTATGGTAACTAACAACGATTGATTTATCTTCCATATCCATCTTATAATTCCAGAATATTGATTGTACGAGGGTCATTCAAAAAATACGTAGACAATGCTTCTCATCGTCATATAATTATTACAAGATTATAGATAAACACATTTTCGTAAACATAAACATTTATTTTGTCGAAGTGTGAAGTTTCATTCCATTTGATTAAATAGAACTCATGTTAGCCAAAATTTAAACCAACATGTTTTGTTAACACGGAGCATGGTTAACCAACATTGTAACTTCAAAGACAACGTTGAGAAAGTTTGTCAAAATTACACTAATTTTCTTAATTTCAAACACGGTTTGTAGCGTCTTCTCCATTCAAAAAACATATCCATAACACTTGACACCTAGTTTGCGAATAATTGTACAAATATAGCTTGAATAAGAATGTCATTGTTTTCAAATTCTTTAATTAATTCTGCAACAGTGCAGCACACATCACGTTCAATGACGTTCCTAACTCTTTCGACAATATTTTTAACTTTAACTTGTTTCTTTGCAGACAATCCTTCGTTCAATTCAAACTCGCTACCACTCAAAAAATTGTATTTTCCATTTAATACAAATACACAGATTATTTTTCATACAGATCCTGGTTTATACGGATTTTTTAAGCTTGTAGAAGAAGTTTCTCGAATTTAAAGTACAATTTTATTGCTACTTGCTGCTCCGTGACGTCCTCCAACGTCATGTTTTTTTGCTTTTTTTAATCAAGTCCATATGTATTTAGAAACTGATATCTTTTAAATGGAGCGACATATTACATAACCTGATTTCATTTTAATTAATACAGCAATACTTTATTTAAAAATGTAAATTTTATTTCGTTTCAGCTCCATTTATTAGAGGTATGGCTGTAAATACATGTACTATAAAGTGAAAATTAGTAAATTACTCAATTTTGACGGTGCTCCGTGACCCCATTTTTGCTGATCTAAATCCCTGGTAATTTTAATAGATATGAAGATACATTCCATTTTTTTACTCAAATTATTTGAATCTGTTGTTAAAATATTTTTACCAAATTTGGATATAATGTGACGTTAAATAAAAAAGTTAGGACAAAAGTCTACGAACTTTTTGAATGACCCTCGTATATTGTTTATTGTTTAACGTCCCTTTCGAGAATTTTTCACTCATATAGAGACGCCACCATTTGCCGGCGGAGAGCTGAAAATTTTGTCCTTTACTCGGCACTTAGGGCCATTGAGCAGGGAGGGATCTTTTTCGTGCCAGCGCCTACTGCGACACGGGACCTCGGTTTATACGGTCTCATCCGAAGGACCGGTCTCCACGTCCCGCAGTGGGATTTGAACCCGCGACGTAAGGATTGACTCCTTACTTCGCGACTCTAGAGCAGACGCTCTAACCACTCCAGAATAAAAAAAAGCTGAAATATTACTAACTTGAATTTAGTATATTTTATGAAGATGTGATTGTTTGTAATGTTAAACACTGAAGTATTCAATGATAATTTTATTCTCGTTGTAACGCACGTTTTTATTGGCTGAACAATTAGTTAAATCTGTATAACCCGGTTTGTGGCAACGCACTTTGAAATCAAAGTACTCATAAGTACAGAGAGCCGGGCTCATCTACAGAGTAGAATGAATTTCGTACATGAATCACATTTATATTCTGATGAAAAAAATATTTAAAAACTATCGATATAAATTATAAGACACTGCCAGTGAGTTTTTCAATCCTAATACTACGGTCCGATTTTGTCAGAATCAGAATATATCTGGTACCGCAGCTGAATGTAAACAAACAGGCCAGTCTGGTTCCCTCTCCTGCTTTACCTCGTATGTTTAGAGCAATCGCAACTTCTCGGGCCTTTCCGACTAGCGGAAAAACGACCTCGAATGTACTAGGACGACGCCATTACAACTCCCCCTTTTCACGATCTTTGAAATAAATGCATTGAGACCTTTCATCTGTGGAATATGGGGTTCAACTTTATTCAATGTAATGATATTACTTAAAATATACCATAGAAGGAACTTCTATCTCCGTCTACACTATATTTGAATAAACAGGAAGATGTATAAATTTTTAACATCCGGTGATGTTTATACATTCGAGGTTGTTTTTCCGACCTCTGACGGAAAGACCCGAGATGATGCGATTGATGTTTAGAGAACTACGATAACATTGATTATCAAAAATCCTTACGCTAATGAACTATGTTCTTTGACTAAGGACTGAAGATTTCAAAGTCATTACTACTAATGTGGGTGTTGCTAAAACGCGGAACGGAAAACGGAACGGAAAATGGAACGGAAAGCGGAATCGAACGAAAAACGGAATGTTTTATTTTGGATTAAATCTCTTAAAATACACAAATTTTATCATAAACGATATATCTTGTACATATTCAATCCCCAAATGTTAAATACAAGTTGATTTTGTCATGCTCAGTCTTTTATTTACGAAAATCGCTAACATAGCAGACACCTAGAATCGAATTTGAAAGAGGGGGCGGGGAATAAACGAACTTAAAAAGTATTTGATAAGTTCCAACTCCAACATCTTTCAGTACTTTTTTTTTTACACTAACTTACATTAATTAGATTCACAAAAATGTGAGGATGTCAACTTGAACGAACATTTCCGCAGTAAAAAGGTTATGAACTTGAGGAGGGGGGGAAATATTTGATATCTAGATGAACCATGGAAATAAATAAGAAATAAAATGTTAAAAAAATTATTAGGATTAATTGGGGCAAACCTTTACGAAAAGCTCCAAAAACATCTCTTATACACACTGGTTGTTAAAATTATATTCAAAATAGTGTCGCTTTCTATATATTTTATATATTTAAAATCTGGATAGTCAAAGTTGGAAAACTCTCATGTGGTAGATATAATGCAAAATCTTTGCATTCAGTGAAGTTGAATTTTGTTTCTTTGCGGTACATATATGTGTATGTTAGGGGGTGTGTATGAATGACCCCGTAATATGAGCTTGTTTTCCCGCTCATCGGAAAGGTTTGAGATCGAAGTTGTAATAGGTCTGACCCCCAACCCCCTTTTGTGTCCAATTTATACATAAGGTTTAATAAATCAATTTTTAATGTGGCCGTGGGCCCCTACACAGACCCGATTTCCCAGACCCACTCCCCCTTTCATGACTCGCTAATTCGACACTGCATGCATAATCTGAATATTATAACTAGTTATTTTTGTCTTTACAGACATTGACATTGGAAACAAATTGAAAGAGGGGGTGGGGTGGGGTCAGCAAAAAAATTCCAGCATACAACAAATTTGACAAGCAAAAAAAGGGGGGATATATTATTATGTCCTTTGCCCAAACACGAAAATCCTATTTCGTGTGTGTGTCGGGGGGGGGGGGCAAATTTCTTACACTACCATTTTTTCAACGGAGGGTGTGTATGACTCTTGAATATATATAATATTTTACAATAGATTTTTATTAGAAATGACTTTAACAACAAGAATATTGATCTTTTATCTGATTTATATCGAATCTATGTTATTTGTTTGACAAAAAAATTTCCGTTTTCCGTTCCATTCCGTTTTCCGTTCCGCGTTTTAGCAACACCCCTACTTATGTTTATTTATATAGATAAAATTTTGTTTTATTTTTGTTGCTTTTTAGCGTTAACATTATCTCAAAGGCGGTTGAGAGTAAGAACTATATTTTTGCACGTAACTTTAAAATGGCGACTATGGGGTTGACTTCCTGCCTTGAACAGGATCACATAAGCCGGCAATTGCTCTTTGAGCAATAAGCCCGGCTAAAAATTATGTACTTTGAATTTTTTTTTCAAAGTGCGTTATTTTTTAAAGTGCGTTGTAACAGTGGGTTGCCTCAGTCAAAATGACTTACGTCAAAAACATATCAATCCGCGCGATGTTCCATTTAAATTTCTGCAATGAAATGTCATCTATGACACGAAAATTATTTTTTTTTTCTGAATAACTTTCTAAGGATTGAGTTAAATAGCTACAAAAATTATAAGGTATAACATGGATTTGACCAGTTTAAGCTTTATTATATATTATATTAACTACTTCGCTGTGTATACAGTTTCAACTGCTCCAAACCTAGATAATATTCTATAAATTGCCTAATGGGTAGCTATTAAATTAATTCCTTAAAAATCGAAAAATTAACAAACTTTCTTACATGCTTCTGTATTAATTCTTAAGATGACGTATTTACAAGAGAAATGTCACATGTATCAGGGGAAACACATAATTTAACCGCACTAGTGGTTGGATTCGGCGTTGGATCCTTTATTCTCGGTGTGGTCCTCAGTCTCGTTGTTGTCTTCATCGTTAGGAAATGTAGAATCCAAGGAAATCAGAACAAGTAAAGCGAATATCTTTTTTAAAAAAATAGATTTGTACCAAAAATTGGTTAAGTAATCTGAAATTCCTAGAAGTTATTGCTAGTAATATACTTATTGTATGATAAAGAAAACAATGGAAAATCTTTTTTCCTGCCTCAAGAACTTTTGCATTGTTATCATTTAAAAAAATATATATGTATAAAATATAAATTAAACTTTAAGGGATGTAAAAACAACTTGAACTGCTTATATTTATATTCTATTTTCTGGAATTTTTTGCATTTTTTTTTTTTTAGAGAAAATGAAATTGTATCAAATAATTGTTTTAGTGATTTAAAGTGCAACGTGAACAACCCAATTTATAACAAAAACGTTGAAGGTAGCGAATCTAGTCGAAGAGGAAGTATCCCTAATACGGTAATTTTCACAGATAGATTTATATTATGCTTTTTTGTGCCCGATAAATAGAATTAAAAAATATTTATCAAACTTTTATGAATAAAGATATATTTATTTCTATCTATGAAAGATGTAGCTCTATTACTTAAACAGGTTTCTACCATGCCTATTGCCGACACAAACACTGCCTATTCCGAGGTAAAAATACTTTCGGATAATAAAGGTGATATCTACAACCATCTACATGAGAAAGTTACTCCTGATACATCTGGTCTAAACAGCGATTACGACCATGCCAAGCCTTTAAAGGAACAGCTTAGTCCAGACAGAGAATACAGCCATCTCACTTCCAAAATCGACTCGGAGGATTTCAAATCAAACGAAGATATTCAACAATCAGCAAGAATAGAAGAAAACGCAGATGAAAACAATGATAATTATTTTACATTGGAAAAAATAAATTAACATTTTGTAATGTTCGCCTATATCATAGTCAACATTTTGACGGGTCGATTACATGTACATTGCAATTTTTTTTTATTTTTAGTTTTAACACGTATTTTCATGATGTGTAAACTGTACATTTGATCAGCCATTGTTTTTGAAATATGAATATAGGAGAATATGTTTTACTTTACTTTCATATGAATATTTATATTTTTAAAGATATGAAAAGATTATATTTTCGGTGATGAAGTGATATACATTTGTCGTGAGACACGGATGTTTACACTACACACAAGTCAATAGATGAATTTTATGTAATACTTTATATCTTTCATTTTTTTTTTGTTCGTTATATGAAAATAAATCACGGAGAAATGGGTTATTTGATCTTAAAAAGAAATAGAAATCAATGGATATATAGCTTTTTCAGGTACCGCTTTGATATTTATCCACTGAGGAAAAACAATCATAATTTGTCTGGAATGTTAGTCCAAATAATTTTTTTTTCATTCGAAATATGTATGATTTAATATGAATGCATGTAAAAAAAATTATAGAATGGATGAGTACGAATGATATTTATATTGTCTTCTTTTAGGAATAGAAAGTTAGAAA